CACCTCCGGGGCAAAGAAACCAAACCAAAAAGGTCGCAGATGGTGTTTCACCTTGCCAATCTGAAGCTCCAATCTGCCAGATGGCATGCAGTGCGTGGATATCAGCAGGTTGGCTCCAAATGTTGACCCGATCGGGATGGAAGACTGGAGCAAGCGGGTTCAATGCTGGCGTGGCATAGTTCTCGCATTCTTCTCGGGCGCCTGTGATATTGAGAGCTCTTTGTACTGGTTGGACTTTGGATCTCTGCATCAGGTCGGTGTCCTCATAGTCCTGCTCAAGCCATGAAGGACCACCAACATGCACATTGATGTTGAGAGCAGGGTCCAGCTCTTCAAAGTCGACAATTGCCAACGGAAAACCTCTGAGGGTCACCCGGCAAGTAGTTGTTTGACAAAGAGAAACAAGCTCCATCATGCGTATAATGCCAGCAGCATTTTGCAATGTAGTTGTAGAGAAAGCTCTGTGAGTCCATCTGTCCACACTCATACGTTCGTCCAGTGTGCTGACTAAACATGTGGTGTGTCCAGGTCTCGCAGATTGTTCGATGATGATGTGTGCTTGAACACATTCAAATCTGCTACATGCCGGCGTCGGCTGAACAACATGAGCAGTGAATGCTTGGTGAGGATCAAGTGCCTCTCTCCAGGTGTCAATGATTGTCTCAAGCCACGTCGTATCATCTTCTTGTAGTCGCGCCGATCTGCCTTCATCACAACGTACTTGGCGCTGATGGTGTAGGAACCAAATTGTAACATACATGATACGTCCTTCTTCTTCGCATTCGATGAGATTTGTGCGATCCCGTAGTCGGATGAGGCTCCAGAGATGTCCATCAGCAAATCGGCCTCGAATACGCTCGGGCAGTGGGCGCATTGGTTCACGTAATTGCAATGGAGCATTGTCATTCCATTGAATTGGGATTTCCCAATCGTCCTCAGGCTGTGATTGGGAGGCTCCTATTTGACGTAATGATAATGCATTGCTCCTTTGCCGACATCTGATTGCAACTTCTGTACGCTCAGGTTCATCTTCAGCCGCAAGATCTCTTGCAATGGCAATGGCAATCTCAGTGTCCAGAGCGGGGTCTTGCGGTGGTGGGACTTGAATGCGAAAGTACGTACCATGTGCAATCCGGTGTGTTCGAGCATCATTGGCTGACCATAGCTCGTTGTTCATGAACACCGTACATCGGTCGTGTTGAAGCCGGCAATATTCGAGCAGTCCTGTCAGAAGCAGAAGTTGGTCACGATGAAGCGTCGGATTGACTTTGAGGACTCTTCTGCTTGCTGCCGCTGGCACAAGAAGTCCTCCTCGCAGTGGATGAAAGTGGATCTCAAGGTCGAGCAAGACAAGCTTTTCATCTGATCCAGCTGCAATGTCGTCCACAGCTTGTAGGATGATGACTTCTTCTGCTTCTGCATGAACTCCAGTTGGAGTAGCTGGAACATAATGAAAACATCTAATATCTCGTCTTCTGACTCGACACGCTCGGATTGCTGCCTCAAGAATCGCCATGTACGTTGAACTTGGGGCAAAAGAATGAACATCCGGCGATGACAGTCGGAAGATGAGGATTCCAATGTCACCACTGTGAAGACTGCTGCTTTCATAGTCCTCTGGAACAGGCGCGATCGCAGCGTCGTCGTTGGGCTCAACATGCTCATAGTCCTCCTCTTGTGGCTGCTGCATGAAAGATGTTTCCTCGATTTCAGGGAATTGTCGTTTTCTTGCCCTTGTTGTCGAAGAACTGGCAGCATTATCCAAAGCAGGAGCATCAATGATGTTGATGTTGAATGCATGCCCATGACTGACTTCCTGTGTCGGCACTGTGGAAAATGGGATGTCATGCCATTCGTAACTTGTTCTGCAATTGATGGTGTTTTGACTGCACCAATACATCACTCTTGCCGCTTCAGCCAGAGCTATACCACCAATTCTCCGCTGGAGTGAGCAGGCAACTGCGTATGAATGTGGTGGATGTAGGCGATGGTAATGGTGAATGGTTGAGGGAGCTGAGAATCGATGGAGCCAGTGCCCTTGCGATATGATCACATCAGCATGGACTGGCCTTGTCAGGTACCCTCTGAAGGAGTCCGGAAAGACCACATGTATCATGATGACTTCGTTGGGCCTGATGCGGTCCCTCCACGCAAGGCCAATGTCATTCTCCCATCTTCTCCAATCCTCCTCAAATTCAAGAAATCTCGGATGTTCACAATAGCGTTCGTCTTGATGGTGTAGATACCATGTTCTCACTTGCATTGATCCATCCAAATCAAGATCTGTGAAGACTCGATGTCGTTCAGCAAGTTCAAAAAGGTCGTGCACAAAAGTGGGTGCTCCAGTTGGTTCTGGGATCACATCTGGATCAATTTCCTGTTCTTCTTGATCTTGTACTCCTCTTCGTGCATCTTCTGGTAATGGATAGTGCCATTGGTCAGTGAGCCGAAGGAGGTTGTGTTGAGGACCCTGCCGGATCGACGCGGCCACAAATGACAGCTGTTCCTGGCAGGATCGATTCACTTTCAATGGTTTGTACGAGTCACTATCAGGATCATAATGCCAGATGTCATTGCAAAAGAACCACCCCCAAGGCTTCATAGATGACTGGCAAAGATCTTGATGTCGAACAACATTGGAAACCATCTGTATGCTATCCTCCATGCCGCAAAAGACTTCCACATCCTCACAGAAACTTGGTGATCGTCTGTGCGCCGGTCGATCGTCCCGAAGTTCCGTGTCAAAATCCATGGTGCCCAAGGTATTGTGCCCACTTCCCAAAGCTGGCAACGTGCAGAGTTCAAATGATAGCTCAAGTGCACGTGAGGCGGCTTCCCATGGTGATGTGAAGTTATGCTCTGATACAACGGAGTGTGCCCATCCCAAAGTGTAGTCCACCAGATGTGGAGAGGTGGCTGGCTTCCCACAGGAATACTCTTGAGTCATCCGCTGTGAGCCCCACCAAAAGGCTGCATCGATGGCGCAGCTAAGGGCTTGGAGCCTGTCGGCGTTGGCTCCACTTGGACATCCTTGCGTTGTCGTTTCTTTTGTTGTTCTTCGGCAGCAGCATGTTCTAGATCTGCTTGTTGAGCAAATTCTCCCAAAGACGTCGTCAGATGTGTGAGTCCATCTTCGATCTTTTTGGAGCTCTCTGTGTTCATGAGTGCATCGTCCATCAATTCTGGATCTTCGTCCGCTTCGACCGTGATGACACCCCGATCTTGTAGCTCTTTGAAGATCGCTTGAGCTCTCTTGATGTCGTCTCTGGCCTTGGCAATCTGTTCCAAGTTGTGCTTCTCCTGGCCTTGGAATCTCTGTGTATATTCTTGCCATCGTTGCACAGAGAGGTGAAGGAATTGCCTCCATGAAGCAAGGTTCTGCGCCCTGGCAAAGCAAACTTGCTCCAAGCGCTGCTGCGCGTTTCCAAGCTCCTCCACTGCTTCGTGCATTCCTTGTATCTTCTGCATCCCCTCGTTGACTTTGTTGTCTTTCATCACAGCTGCAACCTCCGCTGGGAGCTCCGTCTCGTTCTTCTTGAGAATGCCCATGACCTCCTTCAATTTGGTCTCCGCCAGTGAAGGAGCATTCATAAGTGTCTCTTGGGGCGGTCCTCCAACGGCATGATAGGGCGCTGCAAACTGCATCCATGATTCCGAGGGTCCAGATGGCGGTGGCATTGGTGGTGGTGGTAGAGGTGCCATTCCCTCTTGCCCCATTCCCTGTAAGGGAGACTGTTGCGACTTGTTTCCCTTGCCTTTGCCTTTGCCACCTTTTCCTTTGCCTTCTCCCTGTCGTGTCCTTTGAGATTTGGGCTTTTGCTGCCTGCTCCTGGGGCTCGCACTCGATGCCTTGTGGCTGTGCCATCCGTCCCAGTAGTCGTTCCCTTGAGTATAGCTGCAATAGCTCGTATGCCTGGAAGGGGTCTGTGAGCGCATAGATGACGATGCAGCCGTCTCCTGGTACGCATTGTCCACACAATCTTCCCAAAATTGTCCACAGGCCGGACAGAACATGTCGTTTCCCTTGATGAGCCTTCTGCAATCTGCACATTTCCATGCCGGCTTCTTGTGCGTCGTCATGGCTTCTGCAATCCTGCGAAGGAGTCCAGGGTCGCGTGAGTGATGGTGATGAAGAGTGTTCCAGAGATGTCTCAAGCCTTTGTTGTCCAAAATGCGCAACCCCTTCTTGTGCAGATGGAACTTGAACCGCGCTTGAGCTCTCGCTCTTCTTCCAGCTCTTCTCTGCGATGGCGTAATTCTTACCGGCAAAGAACAAAAAGAGGAAGATGAAGACCAACAGGGTAAGTGGCATACACCAGGACCGGGTCAAAGGCAATGCGACCAACAAGGTCCCACAAGCGCAAAGAGGTCCACAGTGCAAAGCGCTAGGCCACCCAGTATTTTACGTGCCTGGGAGCACAGAAACCGAGGTGTTGCGATTTGGCCAGAATCGCAGAGCACAGCAAAAAGAAGGTCGATCCACCAGTGATATCAAACAGCGTGAAGGATGACCTGCGGGCTTGTGAAACACGGGGGTGCCCGCTAAGGTAGTTGGAAGAAGCGTTCGATGGGCCCGCTGTGATCCAAAACCTTACGACCATATATATATATATATACCGCGCTTTTGTTGGGTGTCTCCCCAGATCTTTCCTCTTTGTTGGATTACATCCACATTATTGTTAGTACATCTATGTACATCTCCACTTTTTTCCCTTGGTTTAATCATCTTTTCCAATCTGTGCTGGAACGACCCCCCATTCTCTTTACCCTCCAGGTAACTAAGAAAACGATATGGAAAACCCGAGGTTTCCCAAGAAAAATGATGGAGAAATGCTAGGTTTTCATAGGTTTTCCATCTCTATAGCAACCTCCAAAAAGATTTGGACAAACCAGTTATGAATATTTATCACCTTTTATCACTATTTTGGTTGGATTCTCCCAAATTTGTATCTTTTTGGGGCTTGCTTTCTATGTTGCATCACTAGGTCAAGTTTTCCCAGGTGGAGGATGGACGGATGTCGACGCCTCTGTTGGCGCGTAACTCCATCCGCTTTGCACGGAACCACGACACCGTGTGTTGGGGGCTGAGGGGCTGAGGAACGTGGCGATGAAACCAGCACCGAGCACCAGTTTGAAGAGGTAAATCATGGTAAATCAGCTAGAAACGGGCCAATTCCCGCTGTTTTGGAGTTACCTATTGACCATGGTGATTTCCTGTAACCCACTTACATTTGCCACAGGGTATCTCCATTTTTTGTTAATTATATCTTATGATATTCCCAAAGAAACAATATTTCCATTATAATTCCTGGTGGAATCCATATTTCCAAGATTTTTTCCAATATATTTCCATGATATTTCCATGATATGTCGATGATATCCACTTTATATCCCAATTCAGTCCCACATCGAGATCATCGAGGCAACGATGTACCCTTCTATGGTTTGACTGGCTGGAGCCAGGCGCATTTTGGAGCGGCTTTTTGCGAAAACTCTTTTGGTGTCAGTGAGAAATGATTGTAATATTTTGGAGTGGGCCTTATTTTGGAGAAATGATGATTTTGCAGAGATTTTTTTCATCTCGAAACTGGGAGTGGTAGATTTTGTAGTGGCTACATCACCTGGTTTATTTAGGGATTATTATCACTGATATGAACCAGTATATGCGTCCCAAGTGATCATGAATCCAGTTACTATCATTTTATTGGCAGTATAGCCACTTGTGATACGGTATGGCTCAATATTATCAACCCTAGAAATGAACTCGTGAAATGCTAGTGTTTCAAAAATGCTAGTTGCTCAAAACTATCAATCCCGAAGATACGAGGTATTTGAAAAGTTGAAGGGAATTAACCAACTGATAACCATTGGATTTATCCATTGATTTATATTGTGATTGGAAATAAGAGATGGACATGGATTGCACCAAATGATAAGCCAATGGTTGGATCCAATGGGTCAATCCATTTCCGCATATCCTTGGAATTAGTCACCCATAGTTACACTCCAGCCCATATATATATATAATATATATACATACACATATGTATATATATATATATATATACATACACATATGTATGTATATATATATATATGTATGCACATATTACAATACTTTACTGATTGCCGATTGTACAAATCCTCTACATACTGATATAATATGGCTGTGCCCCAACCTTATACCTCGAGAAATTCTAGGGGATTTCTGGGGGAAAATGACGAAGAACCAGTGGATTCCCTCACGGGATGATGAATAGCTATGGAAATCACTTGGTTTCAGAGGTAAATCATCAAACGAAATGGGCCATGGCTTCCAGTTCGCGAAGTGTTAGGATTGTTAGGCCTAACTGGATGGTACCCAAGGTTGAAAAATCCCCAAATCCATCACATTTACTAAATCCACTACCCTCCCGTAATCAAAAATGGCAATGGACAATTCCCCATTTAGTTTGATTGTTGCAGCTGTAAACCTCCATTGAGTTCGGGGATTTCCCAGCTAGCCAGCCACCGAAATGATGACACCGGAGGGTAAATCCGCGAAATCCATCGAAATCCATCCTGGGATCACCTCCACGCAGGCTTCAGCGCAGGTGGCGGCTGCCTGGCTGCTGGCCACGCACGATGGCTCCGTGCTGCTGCTGGCGGACGATGTTTGGGGCGCCAAGATGGTGTAGTTCTACAGGTCGTGGCGTAGTTGTAAAATGTTATCATGGCTATAACCACAATGGCAAATGATTAATGATGGTTACAAGATGTTATAACTTTTAAGTTACATAATAATAATTAATGACGATGATTATGAAGCATATAACAGTTATCTACATATACAGTTAATAAGAGTTAATGTTTGAAAGCCCCAGTTAATGGTCGGGAATGGTTATAACCATCTATAAAGTTATGGTAGATATATCTATAGTTATATAATGATTGTTGGTTTAGACATCTCATTAATTATATCCATCATATATCCTACCATAAATGCCAGATTGCCTGCTACGTTAACTAACTTGTCTAACGAACTGGGGCACCACCTTGCGGGAAAATGATGAGTTCATCCGGAAAATACTGGATTCATAGGATGATATTTGTGATGTTAATGGAGATATCATAGGGATATTTTATTATGGAATATGTAGGTGCAGTCAACAATATCATATGAGATGGATGTGTAAAATGACCCTGCAAACAGTGGACATATGACCAACAATACAATCAGATTACTAGGGATTTACCCATAAGTATGAGGATATTTTGAGTGAAATAGGGATATAATGGGGATATCATGGGGATATAATGAGGTTGTCATGGTGATAAGTGGGCGATATAGCTACTTTATGGGGAGTGAGTGTATACATATATATATATACACACATATATATACATATATATATATACACATATATATATATACGTATATATATATATATGTATAGTGGAAATATCACCAACCATGTAATATGACTTTTGTGGATTTAAACATTATTGTAGGATGTTGATGGAGATATCATGGGGCTAGTTTATGTGATATGTAGTGGTAGCCAATATAATATATGAAATGCCTGTGTCTAAAAATGGCTAGTATACCCTGTATTGGACATACAACGGGGATTTATAATGGGGAAGTGACGGAGATATAACCTACCGTAATCCGGATAGAATGGGATATTACAACTACAACCAATACCAGCTCCCTACGTAGCAAGGTCTATGTTACTTGCGAAAGTATGGATTTAACATGATTTAAGTACTGTAACAAAAACAATGGAACAAAACCTACGGTACCATATTTGGGAGGAATGGACTGATACACATACATAAGCAACAGCTAATTTGGTGTGAACAGCAGAGCACCAGGTGAAAACACAGGTTTTTCGTCAGAAAAAAAATTGGACTCAAAAAATCGCCAGCATGGATTTGAACAGCAAATAGGGATTCAGTCATTTTATCACCACGCATGGGCTAATTTTCCGTCTTTTTTCTAGCACCAAAGAATTCGGATTCGACTATGAAGGATGGGTTGATCAGCAACATTTTTTGCCGAAGATTGTGTTGTGACTTGGAAATATCACATTTTTTTGCATCACAATTGGGATTGGATCAACAAACATTGGATGGGTTTCACGGTAAAAAAAAAAGAGACCCGACCCTTTTTGCTGTATTAGATGGGCATGTCGGCCGCTGCTCCAGCGAGGTGAAAAAGTCTCGGATGATCAAAGAGGCGTTGGCCTATCGCAAGGCCTGGTGGAGGATCCAAGTCATTGGGGAGTTCAGCTGAACGGGGACACTTTTCAAGAACTATGTCAAATTACGGGAGGTACCCAAGGTTTGTTTCCGTCTTGAAGGAAGTCTGTGAAATCCAAAGCAGGGTGGTACCCCTGACAAAATCATTGCTGATCCACTTCAGCAAGTGGTTTGCATCCACACTGGTTGCACACCCCTCAACTGAGCCACTCCACTCAAAACCAGCTCGCAGTGTCTCTGTTGCTAACCACTGACAACTTGGGAGTACCATCCAAGTGTTGCTGGAACCAACTAACCACATGCTTCTTTATCAGCTTGAACAGTTTCGAGAATAAAAAAAGTTGGTCGCTCATTGTAGGGGGTTGTACTACCCAATATCGTGGGGATTATCATCATCCACTAAGGGAATTCGTGTCAACCAACGACAACACGGGATCTTCCAATAGGTTTGAGACACCATTCAGTTGCATATTTTTTCTTTGTTCCACCGCGTTGTTTGTTGTGTTGCCAAACTGTCCTTATCCATCCTTATCCGCATTGTTAGTCATGAGCCAAACTTTCAGACCAGTATCAACTGATTATCTGCGCTTGCTGGGGGGGAGCCCCCAAAAAGATTCAGAAAAGAGGACATTGATATAACACTTTTTTAGGGATTGATTTTTGCTTGAACTGGATTTGACTCGACGCTGTCTTTTTTTTGGTTGTTTTTTCCCCTATAAATCCTAGTTTGGTTCATCTTAATCTTAGTCCTTGAGCCTAAGCTGTGGATCTGGGTCTTGTGTCCTTGACCTCCAGCCTAAATCCTGAAGATCCAAACATTGAGTGTTAAGATTGAAATCAAGCATGGCAATGGAAAAAGTCCATCATTTGGTTCGATGGTTTTCCCATTCAAACCTGCAGTTAGTTCGGGGGCTTCCCCCCCACATTTTATTCCCATAATAAGGTGGTTGGTTCAATCACATACCACCATCTTTGTTGGTGAAGTCACCATTTTTCATGGGCAAATCCAATTGTCAATCCAACTTTTCTACAGATTCTTCCCAGAATATTGTCTCCATTTGTAGTGTTTTTCTACAGATTTTTCCCAATATTTTCTACCGATTTCATGCTGCCTGGTCACCAACTAACTAACTTCGTAGGCCCTTCGAAGCTTCATCGAGTCCCTGACCGTGGAGCAACGGCAGACCATCCGCACAGAAGTGAGGCACAGACCGCTGCAGCGTGGATAATGTTTCCTCCCAGGGGATGGGTTGGGGATTCATGGGATTTAACGAACCAACTCTCTATAGGTATATATATATATCTGAAACGGATGGAATATGATATGGACTTTCAAGACACCAGCAAAATTGGAGCAAGATTGAAGATTCCATATGGTATCTGCTCCAGAAGGAATATATACTGTATATATATATATATACACACGTACATATTATGTAATGTATAGAAATTGTGGATGGGACATTGAATTTGACAAATAACCATATGCAACATTAAGTTCCATCCTTTATTTTCGGATATTGCATGGAAATGAGTGGCCCTTTATAGGATCACAATCTCGACAGCCTGATAGCTATGATAGCTATCCACCAGGGGCGTTGGGCGAAGTGGGAACTCACAAAAATTGGCCATGCTTTGGCCATGCTTTGGCAACTTTGTAGAATCATATTTTCATGAATGGCAACTCATTGTGGCGTAAATCAACTGATTGTTGGACAAACACATAGGAAAAGTATAGCTTATGCATATAGTAGAATATATTTGCCACATATCTCCATCATATTCTGGCGCTCTGGCAATCAACTATCGCTTGCTGGAAATCCCCCGTTGAGTTCAATGTGATTTCCAAACTAGCCGTGGTTGATTACCAGAGGCTACACTATCCTCATAGTTACATCCGGACTCCGGGGATCAGTATATTTCCCCCCCGGAATCACCATTCACTCATCGGTTTTGGTCGATACGACCGACGAGGGGTTACCCGTTACCATTTCGATTGGCCCCTTCGTCAGGGTCAAGGAGGCGGTGGACGGTGGACGTCCCTTGAGCATTTGCGTGGCCGTGCGAGTGGATGCAGGACGTTTTGGGTCGTGGGGCAGGGCTTACAGTGCGGTGGGTTTTGGGTGAAAAATGGAACCAGTGGATTTCAATGACCCATGCCTTAAGAAATTATTCCAGGGTATCAACTAGGTTATGGAATAATTTCTTTTGGAATAATTTTCAAGGAATAATTTTTGAGGGGGGTAGGTATATGATTATACATGTTGGAATTTCAAAATCATGATCCAGCCCGTCAAGATACCCCGGAATAATTAGGTTTTGGAAGAATTTTTGGTAACTTAAAACATCTTAAAACATCTTAAAATATTTTCAAACAGCCTATACGTCCTACATGTGGCCTGGCCTTTCCAAAAGCCATTCCTAGCTTGGCGGTGTTTACCTGAAAACTTTTTGCTGGAAATGCCAATTGCAGTTATTTAAAGCATCATGCAGTTTGGGCAATTGCTGCCAATTTTTTTTGCAGCGTACTTGCACGCACAACTAGTGTCCAACGGACCACCTTTCTCTCACGGTACTTTCTCTCGAGAGTTCGTTGGGTGGCAATGAATAGGGAATGTTAGGAAAATACTTAGGAAAAGGCCAGGTTGAGTGCCATTGCGTGGGCTTTCCCAAGGGGGGAAATTATTCTAGGGGTATTGGAGATGCCTGGTACCCCTCAAAAACGAAAGTGGACAGCTAATCACCAAATTAGCCCAGAAATTGGCAAGAATTGTCAAAAAACAAATGAAACCCACACATTTCCCACCCATTCCCATTATGGCCAACGGGAGTTTTTTGGAAGGAAATGAAAGGAATATGGAAGAAATAGGGGGCGTGCGCAAAGTTGGGAAAACTTGCAGGAGAGAGCCAGGTTGAGTGCCATTTTGTGGGCTCCCAGGAGAGAAATTATTCTAGGCGTATTGGAGATGCCTGGTACCCCTGAAAAGCGAAAGTGGACAGCTAATCACCAAATTAGTCCAGAAACTGGCAAGAATTAACAAAAAACAAATGAAACCCAAACATTTCCCGCTCATTCCCAGTATGGCCAACGGGACTTTTTTTGGAAGGAAATGAAGGGAATATGGAAGAAATAGGGGGGCGTGCGCAAAGTTGGGAAAACTTGCAGGAGAGAGCCAGGTTGAGTGCCATTTTGTGGGCTCCCAGGGGAGAAATTATTCTAGGGGTATTGGAGATGCCTGGCACCCCTCAAAAACAAAAGGCGGCAGTTGCTACAATCACAAAACAAATCCAGAAATTGGCAAAAAAATAAACCAGTGACAACCAAATATTTTCCTTTCCCACTCATTCCCACTAAGGCCAGAACCACCAAACTAGCCCAGAAACTGGAAAAACATCCAAAACCAATTAAAACCATGTTCAACCAATGGGTTGCTGAGAGGACATGTGTCTAAAGATACTATGCTGACTCTTCTTGATCCTATCTGATTATGTTGAAAATTGTTTAAATTTGTGCCCCAGCTCTGCAAGAAGGGAAACCGTTTTCGGCCGTTTGCGCGCAGCTGCTTACGATTACTTGCGTTTGGCTAGAAATAGACTATACCGGTATCATTTTGATGGAAATTATTTCATTTTCCATATATCTCATTGAGTTCTTGGAATATTTTTTTTGTTGAACTCAACAGATGCGTAATAATACTTTTATTATTCTGAGGTATGTTGAGGGGGGTATCCCCTTAAGGCATCCCTCATGGCACATGGATTTCAATCCTCATATGTTGGGATATGGGGGGTGCACAGTATGCATTATATATATAATTGTATGTATATGTATATGTATATGTATATGTATATGTATATGTATATGTATATGTATATGTATATGTATATGTATATGTAGATATATAGCATTCTGACCACCTATTGACCTGCACCCTTAAGTAGCGATCCAGCCTTGGAGAATGGAGTGGGAAGAGAACTAGCACTGTATGGGCCCCAATTCTATGAATTCAACATGATTTGACCAATATTTACAGTATATGATATATGCATTCAAGATGATTTTGGATGGTAAATCAGCTAATGCAACGGCTAAGGTGCTAAGGGGCTAATTAATCAGCTAATCCATTGCGTCTTTTTGGAGGCTTTGGGTGAACATCAGTGAACATGGATCAACATCCTGCCATACAGTTTCTGGTCATGGCACCACCTATTGATCCATCCGGAAGAAAATGGCAATGGACAATCCATGCAAAATCCACCATTTTCTTCCGGGATTTCCAGTTGCCATGTCTGCATACCGGACGCTATGCCCATTTTTGTTGGTTGATTACAACTATTTATCACCACAGCACATGTTTTCCCAATCTTTTCCCAGTTCGGAGCGTGCCTGGCTCAGGATGTCCCGAAGGGGCTGAGATCAATGGTGGAGCGCTGCTGGGCTTCTGCGTGTTGAACCCGCACCCAGCAGGAGATTTCATGGAATTCAACCAACCTGGGAGCGATTGTAAGATATTCTAATGGGATTTACCATTGCAATTTGAATCTTGTAACTACTGTAACTTGTGGTTTTACACTCCCATATTTCAGACAAATTCAAATATCAGATCATTATTATTATTGTCATTATTATGATTATTATTATTATTATAATATATTATTATTATTATATATTATTATTATTATTATATTATATATTATATATTATTCTTATTATATATTATTATTTTTATTATTATTATTCTTATTATATATTATTTTTATTCTTATAATATACTATATATATTACTATTATTATTATTATATATTATTATTATTATATATTATATTATTATTATTGTTATTATTATCTATTATATATTATATAATATTATTGTTATTTTTATTATTATATATTATAAATTATTTATTGTTATTTTTAGTATTATTATTATTATTATATATTATATATTATATATTATTATTATTATCATTATTATTTTATTATTATTATATATTATTATTATATATTATTTTTATTTTATATTATATACTATATATATTATATATTATTGTTATTATTATTATATATTATTATTATCTATTACATATTATTATCATTATCATTATTATTCTATATTATATATTATTATTATTAGATATTATATATTATTATTATTGTTAATATATATTATATATTATATATTATTATTATTTTTTATTATTATTATATATTATATTATATATTATTTTTATTTTATATTATATATTATATATTATTTTTATTATATATTATATATTATATATTTTATATTATATATTATATATTATATATTAAATATTATATATTATTTTTATAATAAATTATATATTATATATTATATATTATATTTTACATATTATATATTATATATTATTATTATTATTCTTATTATATATTATTTTTATTCCTATAATATATTATATATTACTATTATTATTATTATATATTATATATTATTATTATTATATATTATATTATTATTATATATTATATATTATATATTATTATTATTATTATATATTATCTATTATAATTATTATATATTATTTTTATTATATATTATATATTATTTATTATTATATATTATATATTATTTATTATTATTATTATATATTATATATAATTATAGAGATATTACCCTATTATTCATGATATGTCCCCATGATCTCCCCTTTTTGGAGGATCCCCAGCATATCAACCAGGTCCGGTCCCAAGTTTTCGCTGGTTCTCCGTAGGACCTGTGGAGTTCGCTGGTTCCGTGTGTTTGCAACAAGAAGGACAGAAATGCCTTTTTCTGCGCATTTCTGCGCAAAACATGGGGCTACCCATAAATGGCTGGATGGTTTTTTTTTGAGGGAAAATCCATCTATAAATGGATGATTTGGTGGTACCCCCATTTTAGGAAACCTTCACATGGTGAAAGTCTATTGATCTTGGGCCTTTCCCAAGTTTTTTCAGGATGGGGGTGAGCCATGGGCAGCTTGCTTTCACGACGAAAACCTCCAATTTCATGAACAATTTCCATCGAACTTCACACTTGCAGGAGCCAGTGATCGAACCATCGCGACTGGAGATCAGAAGGCGTTGCCTTCTTGTGGACTCGCCAATAGGATGGCATTTGAAAATCACAGGATAGAACTCAGATTTGGGACATGTCCAGAGATTTACACCATCACTACCATCCATCACCATCATCTTTTTCATCATCATTATCATCAGCTCCTCCTCCTCTTTCTGATAATGATAATAGTGGCATATGACCCTCACACTCTGGGAGCATTGTGGATTCAACGAAAGGTTTGCTTTACTGTAAAAACAATCTCACATCCATCAGAAGAATTCTGATGCGACCAAATGTTACCCCACAAGTCCTAGCCTGAGAGCCTCTAGCCGCTAGCCGTTTCCCGGAATTGTATGAAGGGGAACATGTACAAGAACCTCAACCACCACCATACTTATTGGCACGACTCACGATTCTCAAACCAATCTCCAAAAACTATGGTTTTTACATGTTTTTCATGTTTTTAATCCGAAAACTTCGGTTTTTAGTTTTTTTTAAATGTTTTTTCTCCCATCGTAAAAAAACCCGTTTTTTTTCCCCCAAAAAATACCGCTCCCTGGAGCAATTTCCAGGTGGTGCTCCATGGCGACGGAACTCTCAACGAGCCACTGCGCCTGGCACCCTACGAAGGAGCCTTCTTCCTGGCTGGCCTTTGACGCGTGGCGCCTCGGCGCCGTGGTTCGATGATGGCTGGATGGGATGATTTTTCAATGTGGTGTTGTTGGAAATTGACACATATCAGACTAAGAGTGAAACGTTTAGCCGGGGATCTACAAACCACCAAGTTGTATGAACATGTATGAACTATGTTGAAATAAGCTAGTTATGTATTGGATATATCCCAGAAATAGATGGGTTGTGAGTTGTGAGCCACTTCCGAAAGGGGATGGTCATTGAAACTTGCCGCAGTCATTTGATGGGTTGACATGGGGATGAATCAAATCCTATTATCCATTTGGGGGGATGAACATCATTGAACATCCATACATCCCATTTCCCATTTTGACGTGAAACCGACGGGATTTCACGGGTTTTAACCCAAAGCGATGTCTTGGCTGGTCTTGGGAGATGTTTTTAGGGTTTGAAGGTTGCCTACAAATATTCTGGTTGTGAGGTGGCTGATCGTCTCCAGTTCTTTTTTGTGTGTGGAAGAAACCACCAACTTGGCACATGCTTGAAAGCTTATGATGAGTGATGGTGGGGAATCATGCCGACAATCACCCAACTAGTCTCTAGTTGGTGCTATCAAACATACATAAACATACTGTAACATACTGTTTAAATTTTCAACCCAAATAGGGGATGATGATCCCAACTGTAAAGTTTTTTTTTCACCGGGGTTGAAACCAAACAGCGGTTTGACAGACATCAATGGGACGACTGACAACTGAATTTTCGACCGACTGAGGAGACTGAGAAAGAACTTGGATCTCCGGCTGATGAATTTGGCCAATGCATTTGAACATCGGGAGAAACGATGGACAGACACAACTGAACTGCATTTCCATGGCATTTTTTGTTTTGATTTTTTTGATTTTCCCATCACGGGGATGAACATCCAAAATAGCTGCTACATGGATCCCCTAAACATGCTGTAGCAAATGATCCATAGCTAAAATAGCTCCAGCCAATGGTGTTCGTTGAGTTCAACATCCATTTTTTGGGGGATGAACCGGGATGAACATCCATAAATCACCATAAATCCCAGCGGTCCATAGCTGATCCAAAGTTTCAGTTTCATCGCAGTCACCGCGTCTACCTGATGGATCTATCAATTTGAGCAGCTGCTGATGTCTCTTCAGGCGGTCCCAGGAACGCCCCTTATGAAGGACGTTGGAGGGTACACTTGGGATAAAATCCTGGTATTGTTCCTCAGATATCCTGACATCAACTTCCATGAATGTTGAGATTTGTTTAATTTTGTTTACTCCTCACATCTCACGATTGTTGATCCGCTGATTGCCGAGCTTGGTCAATGTTTTGGAGGGAAACACCCACCAACTGCCATGTACACACAGGCAGGATATTTCATAGCTACTTTCTACATCAACATAACTCAAGTATATGCTACGTACTTGTTCGTATCTGTACACTGTACATGTACATATAATTACATATTATTATTATATATATATACATACACATCTACACATATACACATACACATATCCATATATACATATATCCATATATCCATGTATACACACATACATATGTACATGGACACATACACATATACACGCATACATTACATATACATGTACACTATACTATACATTATACATTATACAGTATACATTATACATTAGACATCATACGTGATACATTATACATTATACATTATCCATTATCCATTATACATGATACGTTATACGTTATATGTTATACATTATACATATACATTGTAATATACATTACACACACACATATTCACACACACACATTCGCATCCACGTGTGCATGTACACATGCACAAGCATACGCATACACATGTACAATTACATAAACATGTACATAGGATATTTTATACACATATTATGTTATGTACAGCATGCAGCGCATTGCTAGGGGATGATAGACTGGTAATCACCAATCATCTTTGTGGCAGCTAAAGAGGCAGCAGTGGCAGCGTACCGATTTCAAAGGTCGCACCTCATATCGCAGGTGATGTCTCTGCACTCCCAGGTGACACAAGGTGTATATAAAATTGGGTACCCAAAATTTCACGGGTTTATCACCATCTTTGCCATTGAAATACTGTAGTTATTTGATGGTATACTACATTTTCAAAAAAAAAACCACTGAGTGCAAGGATCATCAACAGAGGTTTGCGCTGAACACATTTTTCCAGCTGCCCCTGTGGCGCTCTCTCTCTCGAGCATTCGGCTGCCACCGGAAACGGTTGGGGCCATGCGCGTATGACGCGGGCGTCCCCCGCGGAACCGCCACCGGCGAGGTTGGCGAGGGGGGATTTTAAATGCTGGCGCGGCAAAAATGATTTGCACGATTATTATCGTCCCATCTTTTCAAAAATCCAGAGTTTCAAATCTTTTGTGCCTTCCTATTCTTGGAAAATCCTGGTGATGATGAAGAAGACGACTTCTGTGGTTGGTGTTGGAGCCTCAACTACCCAGGAATCCATTGGAATCCATTAGAATCGGGCTCAAGTAGGTTAAAAACCCAGCCATGGGCGATGTCGTGTGGGATCAGCGAGGAGGCCATGGTCAATGGGGAACAGGTGCTGAGTCAGAAATCACGGACAGTTGGACAGCTTGATTGAAGAACCACACATGGATTTTCTGGGGATGTACTGTAACGGGATATATCACCAAATCAATTTAATAATATGATATAATATGTAGGTGTGTCTTAAGATGGGGTATACCGTATACCCTTGAAAAACATATTTCAATGGGAGAAACGATGATTACAATAACCAGTGGAATGGGTAACATTTTTTTCCAATGTGTTTACAGGTTCCCAACTTTTAGATGCACTGTGTCCATAGCTATCCATAGAGAGCTGCAGTTTTGAGTGATTCAGATGTCCTTCGCAGCACATGGTGTAGTACAGTATAGTCATAAACCTGTTCATATCTAGATATACTGTGCATACAGTTTATATATATATATACATACATATGTGTACATATATATATATATATATGTATAGATATGGTCGACTATATTATACATATATATATATACACATACAATGATTATATACACACAATTATACACTATTATATATTTATACACATGTTCATGTTCTTCTCAAATTTCCGCGAGGCCACTGCTGCCGCGCGGCGGGCGCTCACTGCGCGGCTGCGACGCCAACCGGGTCCGGAAGCGCTGAAGGAGTTGCGCGAGTTGCGGAGTGGCTTGGCTGGTGGAGGTCCCAACAACATTGGATTTAAGGGAAAATCTACAGGAAAACCCTATATTTCATGGTAAAAACCAGTTTCCTGTAGATTCCACCAACCAATCCATTGCGAACAGCATTGGGAATATCATGGCCAGGTGTCACGACACCCGAGGGAGGTTGTTGGGAGAGCTGAATGGTTGGATCATCTCCGCCCTGCTGGAAGAAGTGGTAAATTGTTGATACCAATGTGTTATGGATTGATTTATTGGATTACTGTATATATATATACAATTAGCACTTCCCCAAGTTACAAGTAGAGCCCGGGCAAGCCGGGGCGGAACTTTCGAGGAAAGACGCTTATGAAAAGGGCGAGCCTAGAACGAAGCCAGACCTGGTTGCCAAAGCCGTTGCCGGCTTCAACTTTCTTAATTCGCATTGCCAAGTTGCCAGGAAAATCATCCAAACATGTCCAAATTGGTCCGAATTCTCAGTTGATTTCTTTCCCACGATGTTTCGCATGTTTCCACGATTTTCCCATGATTTTCCAATCATTTCCCACCATTTTCCCATGAGTTTCCCATATCCAGGGGTGTCGGTGCGCACGAACGTCTTCCACTTCAACGCCGTGCTCGCAGCGGGGCTGCCCTGGGGCACGGCTCTGGCGCTGATGATGGAGATGCTTCTGGAGCAGGTGGGATGGTTGGGAAATGATGGGAAACTCATGGGAAAATATGATGAAATCACAGGAAAATGAACGAATTCCATGTTTTTTTGTCGAGACATATGTAGAAGAGTTGGATTCATAGTTGGATTTCGCAATGAAAAATGGTGACTTAAGCAACAAACATGGTGGAATAATGGGGATAGTCTGGAGCGTCTAACAACCATGCTGGCGGATTTATCCGTCCATAATCAAACATGGCCGGGAAATCCACGAACTAGTGGAAATCTCAATGGGAAAGTGGTCGAAGTAATAGGATATTTTCCAGCAAACCATGCATGATTACCGGAGGGTAACAAATGAAAACAGGTCTTTGATGTGACATGAATGGGGATGTGATGGGATTTCACTGTGCCAACTATACTAGAAAATCGGATGATATGCGCCATATTGGAGGATGATCATCAATCCATGAATACACAAATAATATGCCCATGTTCAGGGTGAACTCCCGAGGATCGTAAGTGGGTTAGTTCACCTCAGTGATAAGGGGAGCTCACCTGGGGATTTGGTCCAATGGTCCAATTTTGGTTCCAACTCTTGGGGTACCCAATTTGGAGCCATATACGTATGTGAAATGGATGTAACTTTTTTTTTTGATGTGCTCGCTGGTAGTTAATGTATGTTCATTCACAAAAGAACAATGGTTAGTTTGCTGGGTTGCAACATATTTTTTGAGTGAAGCAAAGCTGATCTGAAGACTTTGGACACCTCCAGAAGATTCTTTTTTTGAGACCCTGAAGGTGCCTCCAGATGTCATCACTGTCAACAGCGTCATCAGCTGTGGTGCTCACTGGACAGTCGCGTTGGAGACTTGGCTTCGAGGCCCTATGCCTAGGTCATCCTAGGTCAATAGTGGGGGGTTCCTCTTTCTGCAGGAATGCAATAAGTTTGGGCATGCGGAATCTTGAGGATACCCTCATTAAGAATAGATATTTTCATAAATTATGTATAAAATTGTATAAATATGTCTCGCTGAGTGCTACATGATATTCCATCGTAATGCCAAGCTGGATGATATGATCAACACATTTGCTGCTGGATTTTTTCGGGGTTATCCAAAACAGAGATAGTTCATCTCAGCAGAACGGTGCACGGTGCCTAGTACCCAGACATTTGACAGTTTGCTGTGGAAAATCACCATTTCAAGAATGGTAAATCATCGAAGTGAATGGGCCATGGCTTCCACTTCCCAAATTGTTACTGTAGATTTTTCCGGACGGTTATTATCATCAACCAACCATGTGAGTTATCAATATTTGTCAATTATATCCCATATGTTCCACGGTAATACATAACTTCGGGGTTTAGCTGCCATTCCTCAAATCTATCAGGACATGCTGTCCACCATGTCTGTCAAAATGGGCATCCAAGCGGATGTGGTGACCTATGGCTCGGTCATTAGCAGCTGCGAACGAGGTGAAGTTGCCAGGGTTTGGCTGGGACCCAGTGGGACCCAGTGGAATTTTGAATTGGAGAGATCATCTATGATAATGGCATAAAATTATATAAAATGCATAACATGGGATACTGTATAATGATACATTTTCATGACTATCACCAGCTTGATATGATGTTTGGTGAATGGGATAAAATTGGGGTGGTTGGGCAGCTCGTTGGAGCGTTTCTTAGACCCAGCTAAAAGCATAACTTCATTGGTGAAGTGCCGAACTGCGAACCTTAGGATGACATAGGTCTGCCGAAAAATAGGGTACCCCCTAAAAAACATGGTTTCTAATATTTTTTCCCATCAAATGGCAATTACCGTAATTCGGGATAAATCCCTTATTAATTGACTATATCAAGTTGGTTAGTCATATCCCATCAAATATCCTACTGTTGGCTGTTCACCTCCCATTTTTTTTGTGCAAGGGTTCCAAGGTTAGCTCTTCAAGTTTGACGTAGGTGAAGCCTGGCGGATGGCCCTGCAAACTTTGGCTTTGATGCAGGGCGAGGGGGTAAAGCCGAATGTGATCAGCTACAACAGAGACTTGCCGGAGTTGGGTTCATTGAGCTGGAGCTGGAGGATTTATCAAAAAACATGGGTCCAAACATGTTCGACCAGGGGCCATGGCCACATCTTTGGTTTCTTTATACCTTCCCCAGTGACAGGAGGACCGGTGGGCAGGGCTTTTTGGGGGCATACCTCAGAAACCTCAACTTTGGTATGATGAATATTCTGACCCCCAACACCCCGAAACAACGGTTGATTGCTGAGATGTTTATCATTGGTTTTACCAAAGATGCTGCTTTACTTCAGCTACATTTTCTCGGGAACTTTGAAGGCATGAAACTGTCGCATTTCAGGCACCATCAATGCTGTGGCAGATGCGTCTCAATGGCTAAAAGCTTTGGAACTTTTTGCAGCTCGGCAGCTCGGGATTTGGGTTGGGGGATGCATGGGGATGCATCAAAAAATGAGTTCAGGCTTTGTTCCTCGTCAACTCAAAGACTCGTTCAGCAAATTAAAGGCTTCACCAAGCCTTTTTTTTCTGTAGTGAACTGTAGTGCTCTTATGGGTCGCTGAATCACAGTAGAGATCAGCCCCTGACATCTTTGTCCATCCATTTGCATCCATTTGCGTTGATTGGGATTGACGTGGCGGCTTGGGAAATAGGCTGAATTCATCTTAGTGATGCCGTGTTGACCTCTGCAAATTTAAGCTTGACCTCTACATAGCACCAGTCCGCCCCCAAATGGGCTTTACAATATTCGGTAATATATAGGCTGTATATAGGCATACACAAGAGTACATTGGGTATTATAGCCTGAATATAAGGTATGAAGTGTTAGGTGTATAGGTACGATATGGGCAATAACAAGGTTGCACTCCGCATGCAATGGGTAATATATTAGGTACATTGAAATATTCGGTTATATATGTTATATATGTGGTATATAATAGTGTTAAGGTCTTAATTCATGTAAATGTGGGTGGGAGAGGATGCGGGGTACCAAACCAAACAGCGTTATCGTTATTGCTGGTTATATTTCCATCAAATATCAAAGAGCATTTGCACCATTGTATTCCCACAGAAATCGGCTGGTTTTAGATATCCCGCAACTCTTGGATCGTTTTCCCGATAAACATTGCGGGTAAATCCCCAATTTGCGGACACACACACACACAAAATAATGCATACAAATCATAGTGTTCCTTACATATCTACATATATCCCATTATATCCCCATAAAATCCCCCATTAGATACCCAATGAAATCCCCTTGCAATTCCCCTTTGAATCAGTCTCCCGCGCTTTCCTGCATCTGTTCGCAGTCAAAAAACCGAGGAGGAGATGGGCAGCACCTGCCGCCGCGACGTGATCAGCTTCAGCGCATTGATGGCTGCTGAGGGCGGCTGGTGCTTGGCCGTGCAGCTGCTCGAGTAGCATGGTTGGAGAGGTCGGCGTTACAGCTGGGTCTTGAGAAAGTTGGATGTTGCCCGCCCAAAGGCAGAATTTCTGGTATTTTTTGGATGGTAGTTTGATGATGTTTTCCCATCATTTAATCATTGAGAGGTTTCCATTCCAATGGTTTCCAACTCTTCGATCGATGACTTGACCAAAGGACCTAAAGATTTTCATAGGTTGCATCGTGACGGCTGGGAGGATGAACTTTGTTGGGCCTTTGACAGTGCCAATTGGGGTACTCAGGGTACTTTTCAGGATTTTACCATAGGTTACTTAGGCGCATCGGTTGTCTAAGTTGCTTTCAGCATCTTTCAGCACTCAAGCAAGTTGGGGGTATTGGGGGTACCTATGTCAATGTTTGGACAACCCATGCCTTTCAAAATCCTTATGGTTGACGGAGGACTAGCCATTTCACCTGGCTTGCTGCTCAGCTTGTCCCGAGGCAAATGGCGAGCAACTCCATGCAGATGTAGCTCGGAGTTGCAAAAAAACCTGGTGATCCCTACACTTTTGGTCAGTATATTTCTCCCAGCGCTGTGTACATAAGAGTAGTTACATAATAGTTTGATTTAGGTCGTGCACACGAGTTTTCCTCCTAAGCAAGGGTGAGAGAAGGCATAGGTGTCGTGCAGCAATGACACATTCCTTCAAGCTGAAACCTCGATCCAAACTGTGGTTTTTCGGTTTGTAGAAGCTTAAGAAACCCATCCAAACATCCGCCACATGGTCAATCCCAGGAATTCGGTGGTCTTCAACCGGGGTATCAGCGCCTGCGGCCGCTGGGGTCGCTGGGAGACAGCATTGGAGCTACTGAGCTGGGCGCAGGATCATCTGTCAATTTGGTGGAGTTTGGGTCAAAATGGTGGTAAAGCAACCCCCAGTTTTTGCAAACTTTGATGATACTTAAGTAATTGGGGTAAATTATCATACTTGAGTAAAATCCAATCACAAAACAGGAGTGGCACATTGATGACTTTACGGCAGTTTTGTGGGGTCACAGTATTATACTCCAAAATTGATGGTTGATAGCAAAATAGGATCACCAAAATCCCTGGTCCCCTCAGTCTGTAAAATCTTGACTGATAACCAAACAGTGACAGCTAGCCAATCTGCTCATATTTCATTGCCATTTGCAATGGGAAAAACTGGAGGTGTCAAACCATGAGGTGGAATGGGGCACCTCATTTTCAGACAAACCCATTTTGGTACCCATTTGGTAGATTGGTTGTAATCACTGTGTTTTGTACACCTTCCAACTGCAATCGTCATCGGCTTTGGCTGATACAACCGATGTGTATGTTCTTCAGAGCAGAAGAACTGCCACTTCTTCCCTATGGGGTGAAACTTCGGTCGGCCAACTTGGGGGTGCAGTTCCAGTCATATACAACCATAGACCATAGTCACCATAGTTATAGGGGGCCATATCCCCAACTTCTGGGGGTGAGAATCCCATGGTTATAAGTTATAACCATGAAAGTCGCCAACCAGGAGCAGAGATGTGCTGATCTGGTGGGCTACAGCAGCGCTATTGCCGCCTGTGCCATAGGCCGTTGCTTGGCTTCCAATATTTGGGAAGGTGGTGGGTGAGTGGTTAGGGGCCTACATTGGTTGGTTGTATGGTAGCCTTCAAAAATATAGAACAACTTAAATTTACCATTATTTTAGCGGGGTTTTGCTAATTTTCATTTTTTTTGGGGGTATGTTCAGCACCAATCTTTTTTGGGCGCTGCAGATTTAGCTTTCCGAGGATCCTGGACTTCTGCCCTGGCATTGCTGGAAGCTCCTTTGTTTGGCAATGGAGATGGCGCGCGTAGCACTCAAAGTTGGCTAGTTATGAAGCAAGAGCAAAGTCTAAAAGTCCCGGGGTCATAAAATTCAATCCTCACCCGATTGACAAGTGAGAATCAAACCATGCCCTAGTCTCTTCTCATTCCCCGAACAGTGTGTCCACATGTGTCCACACTGAGGGGTTCTTACGGTAAGGGTAAAAGGCCGGGGGGTTAGATCAGGGTGCTCCATCTGGGCCCCGGCTTTTTCACTGCAAATTCTCGCATAAAAGTTCCCTTGCGACATGTCAATGTGCATTTCGATTGCACAGGCTCGCACAAGATGGGCGCCGCGGTTTTGTCCCGTGCAACTCTCTCGTGACTTTGCACGTGTTCGATCGCTCTCGTTGTGGTGATGTGCGGTGCGAATTTTGATCTCGCTCGCGCAGCCCTCTCGTCAGAGCAGTCAGATCGCCCTCGTTGTGGTGCGGTGCGAATTTTGATATCGCTTGCACAGCCCTCTCGTGACTTTTGGCGTGTCAGATCGCCCTCGTTGTGGTGCGGTGCGAATTTTGATATCGCTTGCACAGCCCTCTCGTGACTTTTGGCGTGTCAGATCCCTCTCGTTGTGGCGCGGTGCGAGTTTTGACATCGCTTGCGCAGCCCTCTCATGACTTTTGGTGTGTCAGAGCAGTCAGATCGCCCTTGTTGTGGTTTTGTGCGAATTTTGATATCGTTTGCGCAGCCCTCTCGTGACTTTTGGCGTGTCAGATCGCTCTCGTTGTGGCGCGGTGCGAATTTTGATATCGCCCGGGCCCTTGTATGATTAAATCTTGTACAGGTCCTTATCAGAAGATCTTGTGAAGACCCTGCTGACATTCTCGAAGAGGGTTGGATGATCTTCCGCAGGTCCTTAAGAGAAGATCTTGCGGAGATCGTGATGAAGTCCTTCCTACAAGGTCCTTGCATGATCCCGTGCAGGTCCTTAATAGAAGATCTTGTGGAGATCCTGGTGAGATCTCTTGGAAGGTTCTTGTATCAAGATCTTGTAACATCTTGTAACATTCCCTCCAGCAGCAGCGTTTTTTTTTTTTTAAATGAAGATCTTGTGAGATTCTCCTAGGGGTCCTGGCATGAAGTTCTTGGTCAGGCTTTTACAATTCCTTGTGAGAAGATCTTGTAGAGATATGTAGAGATCCTGATGAAATCCTCTGAGAGGTCCTTGCAGTGCATGATCTTGTAAAGGTCCTTGTGAGAAGATGGTGAAATCCCGAAAGAGGTCCTTGCATGATCTTGCACAGGTTTTTATGAGAAGATCTTGTGGAGATCTTGTTGAATTCCTCCTCAAGAGGCCCTTGCATTATCTTGCAGATGTCTGCATCGGTGCTTGTATGTGAGTTTGGGCTACCCATAGGAAGTTCTTGTATAAAGATCTTCTAAGGTCCTCTATATAGAAGGTCCTTTTTTGGTGATCTTTTGATATTCCCTTAGATGTCCTGGTATGAGGTCCTGATGAGTAGACATGCTGTTCCATAGCTAGTCTTGCTTGTACCTGGTACATTGACTTCCTACCCCCAAACGGTGGGTTCCGCCACCATCCCTGATCCCAATCGATGGTTTTTCATGGGCTGACACAGGCCCACCATGTTGCGGGTGGCACGCGGTCAAATTGAATGTCTATTGAAATCATGCGTCTACTGAATTGAATTCCCAGGTTTATTGCATGTGCTTCCAGGTATCTGACGATTGGGTCAAAGGTACATTAGGCTGTGGTTCCTGACAACCGAAGTCCAACTCCAATCCCATTCTTGTTGCTGGAAATCCGTCAAAATCCAGATTTTGAACGTTGAAATCTGTCAAGGTTATCCAAAATTCACCAACCTGTCCTTTTTGATGCTTCACATCATGCCATGTAAAAAAAACGACCTCACCGTTTACACAGGCCATGACTTTGGCGGACTTGCAGCCCAACGAGATCACACTCAACGCGGTGCCCATCCCACCAGAAAATGCTGAAATTCACCAAGAAAAACTGCGGATAATATGGGTGATCAATGGTTATTAGTGGGTATAACTATGGGTATAGCTGCATAGTTACAATTGATGATTTACCTTAGGGTAAACGTTCACATAGATGTAGAAAACCGATCGTTTTCCATTCGGAACGTGATACAAATTTAAATTACCTTGAAAAAATAGTTCAAGGAGAGAATCAAACCAGCAACGATGGCAATTGACCATGAAACGTCATGAAATTCGCCAACATCTATGACTTTGAATGGATGAGTTACTTGTTGGGAAAACCATGAAACTGTTTTTTTTTCCCCGTGACATTAGCGTTATTATACGGGGGTTCCTGCCATCCCATTCTGGGTATCGGGATTTAAACAACATCATTTGGGGTATTGCCTTGAAAAAATTAGAGTTGGATAAGTTTTTCCAGTCACCTTGACTGGTGACTGGGGTTTATGATAGATATGGTTTGGGATATGTTGAGGGAATGTGGTGCACCCAAGAACGCACCGCTTTCTTAGTATTGCATACAATATCTGCGATGTGTTCAAATTGGTCAGTTTCTTTATTGGTTTTACCACATTAAGGGTATATCCAACTTAGTGAGTGAATGTCTTTCAAATCCGAGCATCGTTTATGATTTTTTTAATCACGCACTTGCCGTAGATTGTCTCGTTTTGAACATACACAGGGATCTTGACAGTTTAAGGAGGCGCACCGCAGGCATACAATGCAAGATGCAAGACGCAAGGGCACACAGTGATTCGGAACTAGCTGATTAGATGGATCTGTTTTTCCCCCATCTTTTTATACATTTATATTTACTGTAAACATCCTTTAACTGTTTTACTGTAGTTCACCCTTAACATCAACTATTGGATTAAAAAAACCCTGACGCTCTTACCTTTTGCCTCTCGCGCAGGTGATCAGTGCATTGGAACCCTTTGGTCTGTGGACTTTGGCCCTCCAGATCTTAACCAACATGCCGAAACAGGCCAGCGGCGGGGTCCATGGCAGTTTTAGGCGAAGCAGCATGGCTTTGTCTGTTCACAGTTTGGGGATGCAGCGTTGCATGGCGAGTTCAATGTGGAAAACGCAGATCACGGCCCTATTTTGGCCATCTCAATTGAGTGGTTTGTCCGTTTTGGTGATATTTCACGGGAAAATGATAATAAACCGCTGGACTTTGGTGCGCAGCCTTTTTGTTGGTGAAACCCTAATCTCAATAGTCTTGCTCTGATGACAGATGGATGAGGGAAAAGGTGAGATGAACATTGCTCCAGCCATGACCCACAATCCACCAAGAAAGCGGTGGTGGCGTCGACATTTTTCAGGTGCCTATAATTTGAAGGTGTGTCAACTCTGTGCAAGGCTTATGTTTGAGGGAATCTCCCTTCAAAAAATCTGGCCCTTGGCCGTCGAAAGATGACATGTGTGGTTCCCGGAACAAGGCATTGTTGAAGCTCTAGCCGTTTCCACTTGTCCCGGGCTAGTGGTGTGAGTGATTTTATATAGATCCCAATATGTACCCATGTTATCCCATCATTGAACACTTTTGAAAGCCACTGGCCCCTCCGATAGATACTCCAACCTGGCAAATCACCGTTAAGAGGCAAACCATCTACAGATGGATACAAATGGAGTGGTTTTCCGTTGCCACATTGAAGTGCAGAAGGGTGATGATAAGAAAACCACATATATCGTCATAGAAACTAGAACAGTATCAGTATACATGTGTATATATATACACAACATATTATCGATACATACATATGTATATATATATATACATATGGATACATATAATATATGTATATATATATATATACATACCATATACAGAATGCGCGGGCGCACACACACACACACTCTGTCTCTCTCTCTCTCTATATACATACACACATATATATATATATGTCTGGTACCAACCTTTGACCATCTTGTACTGTAATTCACTGTGTTTTCACTACTGTTTTGGCGCTTGGGGAAGAGACACTCTAAATTGACACGTGCTTAAATGGGTTGAGTAAAGGAAAGGGAGTACCATATGCACACCAAATGTGCATGCATGTAGTGCAAGCATACCTAACCTGGGGCACATCCAACTGAGACAGAAAAGCTGATTTTGTAGTTATTTGTACCGGCACATGCGGGTACAACCTTGGAACTAAGAACCAAGAGCCAAGATTGCAGCGAAGAGTTTGGGGGAAATCTTGATCCTTGGTTCTTGGTTGCCAGACTGTACGGGTATATATCGATACTTGTCAAATCCAAATTCTGTGGTGGTCTCTCCTATTCAGTCCTTTTCCCTAACTTGGCTTAAATAGTACGCTCCCACTGCAGCAGTTTGCCTCTACCTCACTACCTCATTACAAGTCACTCTGGCTTTTAATCTTTCGCTGCAGTCATTTCCTGTGGCTGGATTTGCAATGACTCAGCTGATCATCTCCTTGACCACGAAATCCTCCGCATCCTCACTGAAAATATCCCTTCTGGAAACAAGGCTGAAAAGTAGGTACCGGTGGGGGGTGGCTACGTATACATATATATATACACATGTATATTTACACACCGTATATATGTATATTATGTACATATATAGTTATCATGGCATGTGACTTAGTTGAAGCTCCAAACACCACCTTTCACGTTCCATCACTGTCCATCACACGCTGCAGACAGTGGCAAGTTTCGGCAGCGCCATCAGTGCTTGTGACAAGGTGTGGGCTCCATCCCCGACAACAACAATCGGGGACTTGACCAACTGATTCATGGGTTGTATCAATACTAGCTAGCGGAAGATTTAATCAAGATATTCAATGGGGACATATACTAACCATCATCTAAACTATATATCTAATCTATCTATCTAAACCTATCTATCTAAACTATCTATCTTATCCTACCCTACTCTACCCTACCCTATCCTATCCTATCTACTTATCTATCCATCTATCTATCCATCCATCTACTAACCACCACAAAATACAAGGTATCCAAGATTGGGCACGATGCCACGAACATTCTCATATTGCTTCCCATTCCCAAACATGCGATGACTAGCAAGAATACCACCAAACACCACCAACTCCCATGTTTTTGCTCAACACATACTCAACCTGGTTTCCATTCCCAGGTGAAGTCTGTGAATTTTGGGCGCATGGCTTGTGGTTTTATAGCCACACATGGGAGAAAACTCGATATGAGAAAACACACACATACACACATACATACATTTAATGTATAAAGATGTATAAAGTCCCTAAATGTCTCTACAGAATCTACAGTAAGAAGCGCATCCTTCATGGCTTTTGGAGCCCTCGGAGTCCTCGGAGCCCTCGGAGCCCTCGGAGCCCTCGGAGCCTCGAGGCTGGTGAGTGGGAAGTGGCCCTGCAGCTGCTGATGAAGATGCTGCAGGCGCACGAGAACTGGCAGATTTCTATATTTATACATTACATAATATATATATATAATATATGTATATGTATATGTATATCTATATCTCCTTCTGTCTCTCGATCTATGTAATTACTGTAATTGTAATGGAATGGAATGAATGTAATATATGTATGTATATATATATATATGACACACACACACACATGTAGGTATGTATGTGGATGGTGGCAGATGTATGGATTCCTCCCGCAATCACCTGCAGTTGAGGTCAGGGTCGAAGCCAACGTGATCACCTTCAATAGCAGCATCAGCGCGTGCGCGCAAGGTGGGAATGTGTCTATTTAAGTCTATTTTTTGATGAAGATACCGTGGGATAGTCATGGGATATATAATATAAGCAGAAACAACTTGAGATGATATTTGGGTGTGTCCGAACATGGGGATTTGCCCAAATGGAGTTGTGACACCTACCATTCTATGGGAATATCATCCGGATACAATGGGATACATATGGATACATATATAGATATACTGTAGCCGAACCCAGTACATGGAAATCTTAATGCTCATTGGATTTTAGGGGCATCCAATTTTTGGGACCATCGATTCCTGAACGAATCCCATCGATTCACCGAGTTACAGTATATCCAACCAGGGGTAACAATCCGGGCTTGACATTGGTGCATTCATAAAATGAAAACATGGCATTGGCCAAGTGAAAACTCGATACCCCCAGGATTCCACCACAATATTCCCGGATCGATTTGGCAAAGGCAGCCAGTGGAGAGTGTCTCTGGCCATCTTGTCCCTCATGTGTGCCGTTGGTGTTTTGCCCGATACTGCTGCTGGGACGAGAGAAATGCTCGAAATTTGAAAGGGATGGAAGCTGCAAAGCTGAATTTTGGAACGTGATCAAAGTCATGGCATCGTTTTTTCTCGTCACGTGGAAATCCTTTCATGAGTCTATCACATTCTCGATATCTATTTGATTATTTGGGTGTTTGACCCATGAGTCGTTATATCACAACATAGAACAACATAGATCTGCATGATTCTCACAGGTCACTATCTACAGATATCACCTACAATATTATATCCATAGATGGACATCTGGAACGATCTCAATATCTGCTCCTTTGGGAGTTTCTGAAGGAGGACCTGTTTAGATGACGTTCCATTTGGATATTTCCCATTGCTAGCTCTGCTTTGTAGAGTGTAGATTGGATTCCATACATTACCTGATTAAATGCCGATTGGTAGAATCCATCCTAGGAATCTCTATGAAAAAGGTGGAAGATCCTCAGGTGAGTGTGAACAGTGCAATCAGTGCCTGTGCTCAATCGGGGTCCTTGCAAATCGCAGTCGCTTGGGCTGAAAAGGCTGAACTGTGACTGATTTTATCGCTCAAAGTGCGACAACTCTTCCTACAAGAGCCAGAACCATCCCAGTGATTTAGAGCCAACGGGCCATCCCCGAAACATCCCGAAACAAAGATTGATGTATCCGAAGACGGGATGCCCAGAACAGCTACTAAATTCTGCTGGTCCAAAATTTTCTGAGAGGGTTACATACTTATGTGGTGGTTTCAAAGAGTTTCTTATTGCTGATCAGAATTTTGATTTCACTTCAAGCGCAGCATCGGAAAATGGGGGCAAACCCCAAATTGGCTTCGGTCCTCTAGGTCCTCAAGGTGACACCACTCCACCACTCTGGTTCCCAGATTTGGTTCAAGTGAATCTCCAAGAAACGCCCAAGAGTGGACAGAAAAGATCAACAAAACATATGACGCTTTCAGTTTTTTTGGATCGCTTTGCGACCCATGAATTGCGGGATCGTCATGACGTCGTCATCCGGGCATTTTCATAATAGAATCATGGCCCGGGCCCCCGGGATGTTTTGGGCTTCCCAAGTTGGGGGATGACTTCAACATCGCACAGGTAAAGCTTCTAACGTGCATGTCACAGCTCCTGGGCTTTTTTACCGGATGATACGGGATGGATGTGTCTGAAATTGAGGTATATCATTCTTATATATATAATATATATATACATAATATATAATATATATAATATATATAATATATATAATATATATAATATATATAATATATATAATATATATAATGTATGTAGTATATATACTATATATTATATATAATATAATATATATATATATATTATACAATATAATATATATATATATATTATATAATACAATATATATAATATATTATATATATAATATAATATATATATAATATATATATATATACACACTATGTACTAAATATAATATATATAATATATATAATGTATATAATCTATTAATATATCTAATATAAAAAATATAATATAATATATTTACATATTATATTATATTATATATATAATATATATAATATATAATATAATTATCTAATATAATATAATATATATATTATGATTTATATAATAAATAACATTTAATATATAATATATAATATATAATATATATAATATATATAATATATAATATTTAATATATAATATATAATATATAATATTTAATATATAATATATAATTTATATAATATATATAATATAATATATATATATATATAATATATTTAATATTATATATATAATATATATATATATATCATTTAATATATATATATAATATTTATAATATATGTAATATATATATATATACAATATATAATATATATAATATATGTAAAATATGTAATATATATAGAATATATATAATATATAATATATATAAAATATTTAATATATAAAATAAATATAATATATATCAAGCATAATATATATAATACATATAATATTTATAATATATAAAATATATATAATATATAATATATACAATACATATCATAAATAATATATATAATATATATTATATTATATATATAAATACATATAATATATCTAATATATAATATATACAATATGTATTTTATATTATATATTATAGATAATATATATATATAATACAATATAAAATAATACAATACAATATAATATAATATTTAATAAAAATATAATATTTAATAAAAATATAATATATACAATATATATTATATAATATATATTATATATTATAATATATATATTGTATATATTGTATTATATATTAAATATATAATATATATTATATATTATACATTATTTATTATATTATATATTATATATAATATAATATATATACTATTATACATATATAATATTATATTGAATCTAACATAATATAATATAAGATAATATAATATAATATACTATAATATAATATAATATAATATATATATATAGTGCATTATATAGAGAATATAATATATTACATATATATTATATTATATATTATATTATTTATAATATAGTAATATATATATATAATAATTTAAAATATATAATATATAATATATAATATATAATATTTAATATTTAATATGAATAATAATATATAATTTTATACAGTATATAATTATATATTTTATATAGTATTTAATATTTAATATTTGATATATGGCATAGAATATTTGATTTATCCAATATAATATATAGTAAACATGATTTAATATATAATATATAATAATATATATAGTATATAGTATAATGTATAATATATAATATATAATATATATAATATAATATATAATATAATATATAATATATAGCATATAATATATGATATATCAAATATAATATATAATATATATAATATATATAATGTATATAATATATATAATATATATAATATATATAATATATGACATATAATATAATATACTATAATATGATATAACATAGTATAATATAATATACTGTTTATATATATATATTGTACCTAGAACCTGGAACATCCAAAAATAAATGGTCGCAGGCCATATTGGCCCCAGAAGTGGAGGTTTCGATTTTCATTGATTTTCACAAATTTGACAAGGGTGCAGGTATATATATATATTCTCATGGGGATAGAGATGATTTCACCATATTCCAGCAATGGATTTGCAGGGGAGTTTAGGGGGAGTTTAGAGGCATCCAGGAATAGGATCAATTTAATGGGTCATTGGTATCCCAATTGTTAATTCCAACCAAAATATATGGATTACCAGTGTTTATAATTCAAGGATATTGAACCATATTTAACCAGTTATATATATATATTTCAGATGTGCCCGAATATAATTTTGCCTCTTCAGTTGAAGCTGATGCCGATGCATAAAGAATTTCTTATCTCAAATCTGGTTTTGCTGATCAAAAGTACTCGTAGTGTGGTTTCTTGAAACTGTCCCAGCTTCCAGGCTTGTAGCTGACAGCTGCAGGTTTATAACGTCTCCCAACACCATCACCTTGAACAGCGCCATGAATGTTTGCGAGCAGCTTGGCATGGCATTTTTTAAGAGAAAATGGGGTCTGCGGAATGAGAAAAGCAGCATTTTCCCTTGGTTAATCACCCTTGGTTAGACATGGCCATAACTATGGGGTATACAAACCATTTTCAGACCCACCTAGAGATCTGATGAGATCTGCAGAGGAAGATATGCTTTGATCAAGCCTAGCAGGTCCTAATATTTTAGAGAACAACTTTTGGGATCTCCAGTTCTAGCCACGAACGTGCTATGAATCTAATTTCAAATACATACACAACAAAGCATAACATGAGATATTATAGCAAAACATCAATATGAACATGAACGCTACGCAAAAGCAATACAAACAGAACGTGCATGCCAAAACAAACCAACACATGGACCAGACGTAACACATACGTAATTCAATTATATATTATTACATATATTATTATAGATATACATACACATATTATTTTTATTATATAATTATATATAAATCATACAAAAACATATAATAATAGTAATTATTATTATTATATATATATTTATAAGTATATATAATTATATATATATATAATTATGTATATATATATATAATTATGTATATATATAATATGTATATATATAATATGTATATATATATGTATAATTATATACCTATATATATATGCATACATATACATATATACATATACATATACATATACATATACATGTTCATGTTCATGTACATGTACATGTACATATACAAACATACGTATACATATATACACATGTGTATACGATATAAACACATAGGCAATGCACAGTGCACAGTGCAGCCAACTCTGGATCAGGAAGGGCATCTTCTGGCAAGCGTCGCTGCAATTCCTGGCCGAATTCAGGCAGAGGTGCTGGCGATTTTCGCATTTTCGCCTCGTTGACCTGATTTTCCAATGGGGATGTCATGGGGGTTGGCACCTCGCAGGTCAACTATGTTCAAAGATGTCCAGGATGTGATAGATATTGATGGATCATGTTGCCCTATCTTGGTCTGAGCCATTGAATTGGGGAGTCTCTTTTTTTCGCGGAAGGCGCCTGGAAAGCACCATTATCTCCACACATACTGCAGCAAGTACCTGTATCAAGGCCGCTGCGAAAAAGCCGGGCAGAAAAGAGCAGGGTTTAGGGAAAGGTTCCATGCCTTTGCTGCATTTTTGGATTTTTAGTCATGTATTGGAATGATGATTCCAGTGAATAGTTTTCGGGTGGCTGAAACGACCCAAACCAGCAGAGGGAGGTGGGTTTTGGGACATTCACAGGGTTCTCCAAGGGTCATGTGTGTGTATATAATATAATTTATATGTATACATATATATATATATGTATTTATACATACAGGGGATGTGTTTGCTGTTTTGATCTTTAACACAGTGAGTGAAGGAGGCGATTCTGGCTTGCTTACCTCACACCCGGCAAGCTCCATATTGATATCGCCCATCATCCCAAAATAGCGCCCAGTTCGGGTTTTGGACGCATTACATGAGAGTGGCTTACCCAGCCCCCAGAAAGGGCTTTCCGTTAAAGACTATCCAATTGATCTGTCTGGTAATACTAGGGTTCCCCTAAATCCCACGAGTTATCATCAATTTTCTCATTAGCATGAACATGGCCATACATTGGGGTCAATCCCCGATTTGGAGACACACCCAAATATTGTATGTTGGTTATTGTTGGTTATACTTACATATCCCAATATATTCCCATTAAGATACTTGGTGGTTCACCATAATTAGTAAGTGGGATATCATCCCCAGTTGTCAATGTACTATACCTACTTCCCCCATTGAGTTCACTGGGGTTATAAGCCACTTAAGATTCCTGGTTCCTCGGATGAACCAAGCAACCCCAGGGTAAAACTCACCTGACCAGTTCGTCAGTTTAGTTATAAACCATTACTGTAGAACACAAAATATCCCCATTAAATGGACGATTTTTAATGGGTGATTCATGGATGGTTTTTCATGTGATATCTTTTTAAGGCTTCGCATCCCATGACATTTACCATTTTGTTTGAAACATCCCCATAACATCCCATGACTTTGTTGGATTTTCCATTCATCTCCTATTAATATTCCATGAAAACACATTTTGTTTAAAACATCCCCATGACATCCCCATGACTTTGTCAATGTGACATCTATAATCATATATATATATATATACATACACCTGTATTCATTTATGTGTAAAGATATTATCTGGATTATATCTGATATTATATCACACTACATACATACATACATACATACATACATACATACATACATACATACATACATACATACATACATACATACATACATACATACATACATACATACATACATACATACATACATACATACATACATACATACATATATATATATGTATACATATATGTATGTATATACATACATGCATACATATATATATATATACATATATGTATATATATATATATACGCGCAACGCCTGGGCAAAGCCCAGGCGTTGCAGAGTAGAGGCTCCCCATTCCCAATCAAATGTTGTTGCAACTTTGCATTCCATTGGGAAGATCAACAAAGGTATCAGGGAATATGAAAATCCCACCCCCGTTTAGCTCTACATTCAATTGGGAAGATCAACAAAGGTATCAGGGAATATGAAAATCCCACCCCCGTTAAACTCTACATTTAATTGGGAAGTTCAGCAAAGGTATTAGGGAATATTAAACTCCCACCCCCGTTAAACTCTACATTCAATTGGGAAGATCAACAAAGGTATCAGGGAATATTCAAATCCCACCCCTGTTGAACTCTACATTCAATTGGGAAGATCAACAAACGTATTAGGGAATATTAAAATCCCACCCCCGTTAAACTTTAAATTCAATTGGGAAGACCAACAAAGGTATTAGGGAATATTAAAATCCCACCACTGTTAAATTTGACATTCATTGAAGATCTTCAATAAGGGCTTAATTCTACCACCCCTGTTAAACTTCTACATTCATTGAAGATCTTCAATAAGGGTTTAGTTCTCCCACCCCGGTTAAACTTCTACATTCATTGAAGATCTTCAATAAGGGTTTAATTCTCCCACCCCCGTTAAGCTTCTACATTCATGGAAGACCTTCAATAAGGGTTTAATTCTCCCACCCCCGTTAAACTTCTACATTCATTGAAGATCTTCAACAAGGGTTTAATTCTCCCACCCCCGTTAAACTTCTACATTCATTGAAGATCTCCGATGAGGGTTTAATTCTCCCACCCCTGTTAAACTTCTACATTCATTGAAGATCGTCAATAAGGGTTTGATGATGTTGATGATGGTGATGATGATGATGATTATGATGATGCTGATGATGATGATGATGGTGCTGATGATGTGTTGCCTGTCGTGGTTGCGGTTCCGGGCAAAGCCCAGGCATTTGCCGTATATATATATATATGTACATACATATATTCTATCTATCATCTATCTATCAGTTATATATATATGGCTTGCCAGCGGTTCCAGGCCCGTCGCTGGCAGCATGCCCTTGAGAGTTTTGACTTTATCGATGTGACTCTCCAGAGTCTTGCGGTGATAGCGCGACATGGCTGATGTTTGTTGATTTACCCTTTGGTAAACATACAAAAAGGTATTGAACATGGCCATTTACAGTTGATTTACCCGTTAAAAATGGTGATTTTTTCCATAATTATATTTGTTTACCAGGGGGTATAACCGCCAGTGCTGTGCCCTATTATTCAGCTTAATGGATGTAAAACTTAATGGATGTAAATGATGGTGGTTTAGATGGTAAGTGGACATATTCACCATGAATCAGCATCTAAACCACCATTTACACCAGCTATCATCATTTTTACTAGTGAAATCCATCATTCTTGGTTGTACCTTCTGGTAAGCAAACATGGCTGGGAAATCATCGAGCTACGTAGACGGTTTTTATAGCTGGGAAAATCATCTATAAATGAAGGAGGTTCTAGCTAGCCATGTTTGATTACCGCCATTGATATCCATTCGCTAGTCCGATCAATCTACCAGAGGCAACAATCGGGTAAGGTATAGTTCTAAGTTAGTGTATAGACCCCATTGATATTAGACTATAGATATATCATGATATATCTACCACACATCCAACTGTGTTAGTGAAATAAACCAACGTAGCAATTCCGAACTGGGACAATAGCCTGCAGGGGATCACAGCTTCATCGCAAGAAGGTCAAAGCTTGGCACCCTGAGTTCAGTAGTGGGGATTTTGGATCTTCATGCCCATATCTATACGTGTGTATATATATATACATATTTATGATCGGATATGTATACAAATGCACAATCCCACCCCCCAATATTAAATACCACCCATAGGGGGCACTGACATAAATAGATCCAATACTAAGCCAGCGGTTTTAGGGCGATATTCAATATTAGGGGCATGGGGATATGTATATATATATGTATATATATATAGAGCCTATATAGCTATAGTTACTAGGCTTATATCCCAATTTATTTTTGACAATGGTTAATTGTAGTCGCTCTAATGTGGGATCGACAACAATAGTGTCGCATCCCCACTCACCAAGCATTTGAATCCATGGCAACTACAGGATGGTATTGTAGCAGGGATATACAATGATAGCGGTAGGGATATATCTACTATGATTGTATATATTTGTGGATGATTGTAGATCATAGTAGAATCATCCATCCCTATGTGTATCATCCATCATTGCATACCCCTATCATATGGATTATATATCTACTATTGCTACAACCACCTACAACCTTGGGGATGTTTTTTTTTACCATCCGACAGGCGATTGTGGGATGGGCTAAACAGGGCGAAGCACAGATCACTGTGGCATAAGAAAGACACAAATGAATGACTAGATAAGGGAATATAAACCATAATATTCTAGTATATAAATAGAAACCAGAAACATAATTCTAGTAATACTATTATGGTTTAAATATATATATATATATAGATAGATATTCTAGTATATAAACCAAAAACATAATTCATACGGTTTTTGTCACCAGACCGTGCTGTTCCCAAACAATGCCTGTATCCGCAACCACTCGATCTGGATAATCCTGGAGCTGTTTTTGGGTCCTCCAATTTTGGATAGCTCTGGTAGACTCAGGTGGGAAGTGAGTGACAAGACTTTGCCACTTTGCAGTACCTTGCCCAGTGGAACTTGGAGGAAACGATGGTTCAAGGATCTGATCTTAACATCCATAACATATAATATGTATATATTATGATATTAACAATATAACCATATATATATATATACATACATACATACATACATACATACATACATACATACATACATACATATGTATATATATATATATATACATACATAGATATTGGGGTTTCAAAGGGCTCGCTTCCATATGAAAGAATTTCCTAGGCCGAGGCCTGAATCCAAGGCTCACGACCAATTCCGCTCTACCCAGATGGCTTGCTGTTCCCATGACATGGTTCCCCTTGAACTTGACAATCTCCGGTGCATGCCATTGGTGCATCCGGAAAGCTCATTTTTTGTTGGCAATTAATGGGATATAACCAACCATAAATGGTGATTTATTGGATATATAGTGGGAGTATAGTGGGATATAGAACCAACAATTAGGGTTACCCTCCAGTGTCATCAATGGCTGGGAAATCCACGAACTCAAAATCCGAGGAGTTTTAATGGGATAATCATCGACAAACATGCTGGGATTGTCCATTGCCATCTTTGATCACCGGTAAATGCCTTGACAAATGGCAGATGACTTTGGGGTCGCTGCCCAGGTGCATTGGAAGATATGCAGGTGCAAATGTTCCAAGACCTACGGTGCAAGCGAAGCTGCTGAAGAAATGGCAAACGTGGGTAAACTCATATATTCTTTTTGCACCATGATTTTGGACAGACCAGACAAAAGTCAGAGTTTCAAGGTGCTTCAATGCTGGCACCCTTCAGGATTGTCAAGATGAAATCTGTGGTTCCAGGAAATAGGATGGTTGGGTTTCGAACATTTGGATCCAAACACCTGCTGTGGGATTCAGGGTGTCACACGCGGCCCAAAAAAGGGTTGCCGGTGTGGTGCGTGCTGGTGTGCAAGCTGGTTCTGCATGTTGGAGAGTAAACAACAAAAATCAAAACAAGTCTTGTGTACAGTTCCATGACTATATAGCTAGCTAGGTTTTAATGGGAAAATCATCGACAAAAATGTGGGGATTGTCCACCAAAGCTTTGGCTTTGGATCTTGTGAATCTCAAAAGAAAGGATCCCATGATATCCATGATGATCGACTACACCCAGAAATGATAGATGGATTTTTGATGAATTCGGGTATGGGGTCAGTACACCCATACCACTGGTATGGATGTTCATCCCCCCTTTCAGATTGCCCACGCAGATACCCATCACCACCACCTCTCGCTCTGTCAGCAGCCAATACTGACTTCGCACAACCTCACCACACATGACCGTATTGGGGGAATCCATAAAGATATCCATGAATATCAATAAATCAGATGGGTTGCCAAGTGGACATAGATGACCGTCCAACAGATGTTGAACACATGTTGGACTCATTGGATTGGTTTAAGGGAACGTCTACAGGAAATTCCTATAGTTGATGGTCAAATCCTTGCGGCTTCCTGTTGATTCTCCCGAAAACACCAGTCGATTGTTCGACGGAACCTCGTCGTTTTCCGAAAAAAAAAACCGTTGGTCCCACTTTCCTCATGATATGCCAAAGGGAGTGTCACAACTGTCACAACTGAAGATCTCGAACTGGGAAAAAACACTACAAACCGTCAATCGCCCAGGCTCTATTCGAACCTGTCTCCAAATTAACAGTTAGCCCCAAAATTTATGATACGCATTGATAAGCTATCATCATTTTCCGTCTTAGATTCGCTGAAAAACACGGGCCGCGCTGCCAGGCAGAGGCTTGCGATGCTTTTCAACTCAGAAGCAGATGAACATGTTCCAGGCATCCTGAGATGACGATCTTTATTCAATCGCCCCGAGTTTTTAGAGGCTTCCAAAAAATGAATAGATCGCATAATAAACCATGGTTCCAGGGGGTATTTAGTACTGGCGGGATAAGATCCCAACTATTCATAAATCTGAGCAGCAACCGATATGTGCAACTGGTCTGTGTTCCTCGGCAAAAGCTTTTTGACAACTCCCAGCGAGCTTGAACAAAGACATGGGTACTGTAGATGTGACACGGACGATGTGAGACGGACATCGATGTCCTACAAAGGCACGTACGTCATTTTGCAGAACATGTCTTCAGGCTTTAAAGTAATTAACTACAATACATGGGCATCTTGCCATGCTCCGTTTACACTCTGGGACCCCTTGGAGAAACCGCACATCGGACGAGAAGGCGGCACCTTTGCGAGATGAGCTACCTTTCAGATCCTGAAATTGGGTCTGAAATTTATGGGAAAAAACAAAACCAATCCCATCCACTGGTTACTTCATTTTCCTGATTCAAATTGACAAATCAGTGGGGTAAATTCACAATTTCAGACACAACCAAATGATCACATTGTTGTGTATGCATATGCATGGTGTTGCATCTCAATGTCTACTTGCAGGCAGCTGTTGCGCTTTCCAGGGCACAATCCAAGCAAGCTCGCTTAAGCGTAGCGCATCTTGGGCCTTTGTGGCCGCACCACCCCAAACTCTAGTGGCTTCGGTTGCACCGGCCCAGAACAAGCAGGCAGTTCATGAATTGAGCAAGCCTGGAACGTAACTGCAACGCCCGGCACCAATGCCATGAAAGGAACGTTGCCACTTTGGGGCTGCAAACCACATGGCTCAAGTGGAACAACCATGCTCAGAGCTGAGGTTGGCCGTCAGGGTCGGCTCGACGTAGTTTCTGGTATTTTCTTTTCAGCCATAATTTGGAAGCTGCGACAGCAAAGCCGTCAAGTGGTTGGACCAATGCAGCGCCTGTGCGGGTGTGCGGGGTGCTCGCCCTGCCACTGTCCCTTTGCAACTAGGCATCCTTGAGGACATTTTGGGCTGTAGAGCATATTGGTCACAGCACCTTCTTGCCCTGCTCTCATGCTTCTGTTTCAAATATGCTAAAGTCAGCCAGAACCCCGTCACCTGCCATTGGCGCAGGGCAAGGTGGGAGAGGAACCTGGACCCAAACGCACAGGATTAAACCTTGATGAGGGAAGGGCTTGGGGCCCCAAAACAGAGCCTAGAATCTGGCACCCAAAAAGTGTGCCCCCACTTCTTCCGGCCTCTGCTTCTGTCCCGCCCAAGGGTCCCAAAAATGGGGCCGCAAAACCGCCCACTTGCCCAGCCCTGGTGCGCAAAGTGTCCAGGGCTAACAGATCCGCATCTTGTAGCTTACCCCTGCGCAGCCGCCATCGCCGCCGCCACCGAGCAACCCATTTGTTGGCGGACTTTCCGACCCATACTCGCAGAGGCCCTGTCGCGTTCAAATTGGTAGAACCCGGCAGCTGCGTCTGTTCTCAGCCAGCGCTCCCTTTAATTGCTGCAGCTCCATGCATGCGAGAAAAGGCTAGGGAGCGAAAAGAGATCAAACAGCCTGGAATGCACATATGTGTGACCTCGAGTTGAGCGGCCTGGCTGCCATATGAAACGAAATGGTGTTGCACTGCTTTTCATGTAGGTCCTTGTCTGCAGGAACGGTGACTGCAAACAAAGTACAGCCCCATGCTCCGTATTTCTGGCTAGGAACCCCTTCCACAGCCTGCGTGTCCTAGCCTGGCTGCGGCGTGTGCAGTGATTGCACCCCGTTACAGCTACCCAACACCACCATGGACTATGAGATTGGCATGGCTGAAGGACATGACTGCCAAGTGAAATTTCAAATTCTTCACACTTGGAAAGAGGTACAGTTGCGATACGCTCTGGTCAATCCTAAGCCAAACATGTATTTCCATTGATATATATATATATGTTGCATTCATTTTTAATCCCATGTAAAAAGCAATGTATTCTCATATCGATCTCATTCCCCCAAGATCAAGTACCATCCGTGTGGGCTCCAAACCAACAGATCCAATACTAAACCAAGGTTTCCAAGGGGTGTATTCAAATTCGACATTAGGGGGATTTAGGGAGCTGGAATTATAAATTATATATATATATATATTCATATGTATAGCAGATCATATAACATCCACATTTGGTTGGGTTCACTGAAATGTGATGGTTCAGGCTATCAACAACGCCATGGAAATTGCCCTGAGCACTGATGACAAGGCCCGGTGACGTGACCGGTGAGACCAAATGGAGCCCGACCCAAAGGGGTCCAGCAACTGGATTGGGTGCAGCAACTGGATTCGTACAACTTGATTTTTGGCTATACGTGGGGAAGAATCTAACTAATCATCTAACCAGCTAAAGGCTAAAGATCCTGAGTTTTTGCGTAAAATCCGCCTTTTGTGACTTTTGGATACTTTGGCTGGTTGATTTGATCAATTCATCCCGCATAGGTCAACCTCCTGCAACAAGGGATTGGCAGACAGAACTTGACCCAGACAACACGCAAGACACCTACAGTACCACAGACTTATGAGGTAGCAACTTCAGGCGTGGGACATGAATGTATTGGCGATCCGAGGTCCCTTCCCTGCAAAAAACCCGCCAATACACGCAAGGAACTCTCCGAGCGTAGAAATCTGCGTGGTGGGTTTGATTCTTTAAAAAAATCAACCCTATTTAGGATGGTGATCTCCACATCATATCAGCTTGAAATATCTTGAAACCATCCCACGAGTGTGAGGCCATGCTTTTTGGTGAAGACGTGGCATTTGGCGGTGTCTTCCGTTCACCCGACCTGTCCATGCTGGGATGTGGCAACTTTGCTCAGACCGTTTTGAAAAAACGGGAAGGACTGACTGCTTTTTGGGAACCATCTATTTTCAGTCATGATTTTGCTGTGAATTGGCAGCTGGCATGTGGCAAGCATTGGCTCAGGGGTCCCCGGATGCTCTTGAAATAAGAGCAGCGTTTTTGGGGATCTCCAGCTTCACACCTGTCACCCGTCTCCAAAGCATTCTTGTTGGTGTTTGATCGCATTATTCTGGCTGGTGGGTCCAGATATTTTCTTTGCGAGATCTTCGTTTGATTTGAATTGGCTCACACATTTTCGTTCTTTCAGATTGTTGAACACCACCAACTGCAATAATTGCGCCGCTTGGCTGTTTTCCGAATGTTTGTTGCTTCAACCGCGAGTCTTGGCGTTATGAGCCCCAATTTGTTGGTTAAAAATCGAAACTAACAACCAGTATCGCATGTTTCCCCATGATATACCACCTGCGCCCATTGCGGGGATAATTTAGAACTCTCCGCGCTGCCAGGCTGTAGCATGGGTCTCCGTGAACAGCCTGGGCCTCAGAAATGGAGTGCTGTTTTACTCTCTTCCTTTGCTTGTCCAGTGGAAACCACTTCTTTGTGGACTTCCATTTACAGTGCTGACACTTTTCCTTACCCAGGTTTGGAAAGGATCGTGTGTTGCTTCCTCAGCCAGAAATCGTGCGCCTGGAGCCACACCACCAAGCGATTCCCAATTGGTATGTGAACCAATTTTGGCAATGGTTACCATCGCTGGCCAATTGAGAACCCGTCAATAGGTATTCAAACCGACCCAAACCAGTTTTGCCATTTCAGGACATTACTAGTGTACAACTACATAATCTTGACCCCAAGAAAAGGATTCAGATCCAATGGCATCCCCAATCAGCTGGAAGCGGACCTTGGGTCTATTTGGATTGTGGCTGAGAACAGAGAATCAATTGAGGAAGGATGCCACGCAAAGACTGCTTTCCTGTTGCAATAATGTCGACCATCTGCTTGAATTTCGGACATTAGATAACGTTACTACCTTATATATATATATTTGTTTATGTCATTCAGCCTTTGGGGTTCATGTTCCTTTAGCTGTGCGACCCAGGTTCAATACACCACTCTCCGAACAAGGCATTGTAGGCCCACCGAGAAAGGGGGGTTCACGGCAAGCGATAATGGCAGCTGACATCCCACTATTTGAACCCTCCAAAATCTTATTCTTGAACCTTTGGTGCACTGCGTGCAAAGTGAAAATTCACCAATTCTTCTATGCTACACTCCTTAAAATGGTGTCAGATCCCCCTGCTGTGCAATCGCGAGGCTTTGCGATTGGCATGGCCTCAGTTGGGTGCAACAAATCCGGTGGATGTTGCGGGATTTCACCCAACTCGATGTGCGAAATATGATTGCGATCTGTTCCAATTTAGGGGTGGAAACGGGTTGTATACTTCCAATTTATGGCCATCTTAATAGAGAGAATGATAATAAATAATAAACATTTTGGGTTACCACATCTCTGGACATCGCTTTGGACATCTGTTTCTCTTGCCCCTTTCTTGCTGGTGTGGGTCAGATGCTTCGACCTAAGCTTTCCCACTCTCAGGTCTCTCTCTCTGTGAGGAGAGATAGCAAGGTCAACACCACAACAGCGAAAACCGGATTTATCCCCAAATGGAGGCACCATAGGTATCGACCTATCTTCATGTTGAGACGCCCAATCTTGCCTCCATCTGAACCTGATATTCTGAAGAGTTGCACTTTCCGGTCATCGCAGGTACACGCCCATAGCAGAGATTCAGTTTGCAGATTACGTGTTTCCTGCGTCAGCCCGCTGGATTTCGCCGGGGTCAATTCAGTGGTTGCAGGCTTCAAACCAGAGGGTTTCAGACTGTATTGGAAAATCAAGATCCAAAATTGGGCATTTTTGCGTTTTTTGGCAGTGTTTTGCCCCCGCTGAACTTCATGCCGCGATAACTTTGGCCAACCATTCGGTGGGTTGCTCCCCAGGATCGGATATTGGTTTCTGCCTGTTTGGATCTATTTGGAAGTTACTGTATAACTGCTGGTCAGACTGTATAACCTTGGTTTTGAAGGTTTTGGGAAAGTTTGGAAGGTTGATGGGTTAATTTTTTGCGATACCATTACGATGAATGGAGAAATGTGCAATATCCAGATAACCATCGATAATGTCCATCTTATGTGTATCTTGGATCGACAAGTTGCAATACACTTTTCCCCGATCCATGATAAGCCATGCTACGGATCGCCAGGTTCGATCAGATCGTGAATGAAGCGGCCAAGTATCGCCCGAGCCCCGAGTTCCGAGTTCAGTGGTCTACCGAGAGACTGCTGGTGACAGGGTTCTACCCATCCATGGGACTAAAAATGGCACGTTTTTGCTCGTAAATTTCCTTAAAAACTATGTTAACTATGTTCTCTTGAGAGAAAACCATCTGGCTTTCTTTGCAATAGGTAGATGTTTTATGATGTTTTTGAGATATTTTTAGGTGCCCATTTGTGGAGATACCTACTGCGGGTTGTTTGGTGTCCTCTCATCTTTCGGCACTTGGACGTTGAGTTGACATCAAAATTGGACTGTGCAAACCAACCAACTCGCAGTGGCCATGGCACTATCCATACGATCCTATTAAACATAGACAATGAAAAATATGTTGGACCAGGGAAGTGTGCAAGAATTTAAAACACCAACACATATCATGGTTTTGCTGGATTGGCCCAGTATTCCAGAATCAGAACCATTGGAGGCTCAGAATCCGCAGAATTATATCCAACTTGGCTTCTTCAGGCTATCGAGCCGGAAGCACGTGGCGGGAGACCCAGAAAACACCAAGGGACTTCCAGAGGATTCGCTGAAAACGAGTGAGCCCGAGACGCTTTGGATCGCTTTGGTAAGAAACGACCCATTTTGCGGATCCTTTTGACATTATGTTTGAGGCACTGCGGTTCCCTGACCATCCGCATGCCTGCGGGTGCTGTGGGGCATGGAGGCGGGGGTTGTTGCAGGTGCACTTCCAGGTATAAACAAGTGGCTATTTGTCGCCATAAGTCTTGGGCTATATATGGGTATATCAATTATATCCCGACTGGGGGTGATTTTATGATATTTTATGATGGTTCTACAGTTCTACTGTGTTCTACCCATAAAGACAACCCCAACAAAGCATCTAGAAAATACTGCTTGGGTATTTTTCATCAGGCTTGGGATGATGAATGGGTCCCCGACTTGATGATTTTTTTTACCATTTCGAGCCTCAAACTGCTTTCGTGCCGGATCAGTAGTGTCGACCCCGGATTAATAAACCTTCAGGCTGATTCAGGCTGTTTAATTATTTTAATTGGGGAGGTACCATTTTGGTGGGCGATCATCAACTAATTGGGGGATAATCACCCAGGGTTTATGAATCCGGGGTTGACATTCCTAGATTCTAGACAAGATACCCTGGAAAGATCAGGAAATTGACCAGCATAGATCAACAATGAATAACAATGAAATGGGGTCTGCTTGGCTCAACCCTAGTGGTTCTTTGTGGGCTGCCGCTCAAAACCCGACGAATTTAAATCCAGGACATGTGTGTTGCAAAACATGTTATACCTTCTGGTAATCAAACATGGCTAGCTGGGAAATCCCCGAACTAAATGGAGGTTCTAATGGGAAAATCATCAACGGGTGATTGTCCAGTGCTGACAGGAGGGTAAGCAACGTCCGCTTTGAAGTGTAAATGCCAGCTTTTGTACGATAAGAAATGATCTTGCCTGGGTAAACCTTGGTTTGATTTTTCCATGAATGGATCATGCATGCATGCATGCATGCTTACATTGAATTTACATATTTTACATCTACATAAATGACATTTACATTTACATTTGCACATACAATTGCATATATTTACATATATTTACAAAAAAGTTGCATATATTTACATACATTTACATATATTTACACACATATATATATATACATTTACACACACATATATATATACATATTTACATATATATATATACATATTTACATATATATATATACACATATTTATATATATATACACATATTTACATATATATATATTTACATATATATATCTATACATATTTACATATTTACATATATATATATATACATTTTTACATATATATATGCATATATTTACATATTTACATATATACATATTTACATATTTGCATCTATTTACATTACATTTACATATATTTACATTACATTTACGTTGCGTTTACATTACGTTTACATTACATTTACATTGTGTTTATATACATTAAAATATATTTGCATTACATTAACATTACATTCACATTAACGTTACATTTACATTACATGTACATTACATTACGCTTACGTTACATTGCATTACATTGCACGCATGCATATATACATATACATGGACACATAGATAGACATACAGACATATATCCATACATACACATACTTCTGAGACCATATTTCTGGGGTTGGCCTTTTGGTGAGCTGCCAGGTCTTTACCATTCGCAGTCGCCCGAGGCTTGGGTGTTTCAGGAATTTGCTGCGCTTTTGTTGCTGGCCCCGTATTTTTCCTGGTTACATCCCACACTTTGTTGGTTTAACCAGAATTTTTGCTAGTTTTTCCGATGTTTTAACTCCACATGTTCTTGGTTTGGCCAGCATTTTTGATGGTTAAACCCAGGTTGACTCACTGGAGCACTGTGCCTTTCTTTTCTCGCACGTTTGGGTGAAGCATTCCCAAGGATCCCGTGGAACTGGTGAAATATGAACGGAATAGCAACGATGTTTCTGGATAAATTATGATGTGACCTTACGTCGTGACCGCACCCTGGAATCATGGTGAATGTATAAAATCAAAATTATATTTATATACCTATATATGTACATATATTTATATATGTATATGTATATGTATATGCATATGTATATGCATATGTATATGTATATGTATATGTATATGTATATGTACGTATATGTATATGTATATGTATATGTATATGCATATGTATATGCATATGTATATGTATATGTATACATTTATACTACATGTATACATAATATATACATGCATACATACGTACGTACGTACGTACGTACGTACACACACACACATATATATATATATATATGGGAAATGATCCTCAAATGGCCGAACTTTTCACCGGTTCATGTCTATCCATGTCTATCCATTCGGGCAGGGCATGGGCCGGGAAAAGGGAAGATGAGTGGCCGAACTTTTCAGGTTAGTGAAATATTATGATTTACCGTGATTTACCCAGATGTTTTATCACCATTTTTCATTTTTTAGTTGTTCCTCGGATTTGGGAGGATCATCTCACCGGACTCGACGTTTGAATTTTTGAAACGGGTTGGCTCAACCACCTGTGGGTTCAGTTGCAGGCCTACTTTACGCACTGCCCTGGCTTGAACGTGGCTGGGATGCCCAGCGACCCTGGAGTCCGGTTGGGGATCCCATGAAGATTTCCCCAAGAGGTGATGTGTGTCCTACAAAGACTTGATTGCACACTGTGACACTGTGACACTGTGACAGTCAAATGGCTTCCGTGGAATCTCAGCAAAATTTCAGGTGGTGCCAAGGGGCCCGCGGCAAGCGAAAGGTTTGCTGCTGGCAGCCGTCCGCAGCCGGGGGTTCCAATCGGTGACATCCATTTTGGGCTGGGACATCCCCAATAACTGGAGTTTTCTTAATGGGAACATCATGCCATTGCCATGATTACCAGAGGGTAGCCATTTTTTGAGACATACAAGGCACCAAGCTGGCTAAACTGCTTGGCCTTTTTGATGCGTCATGGGAGGGTGGATTTCCAGCTGTGCACCCTTTCTAGTGAAACCCTGAGTACATGTGTCAAACTGGTCAAGCTTGCAGACTCTGACAGGGGCTAAAAACCCACGAAAATAAACGCACATCAATGGCAACTGTCAGTTTTTTCAGTTTTTGTGGCATCCAACTAACTTTGTTTGGCAACCAACATCATCCAACTTTAGAAGTTCCCCTGGGTAAACTAACATAGATGTGGAAAATCAACCATGTGTATCATTTGTAGACTATTTTCCTGGGGTTTCCCCATGGGTTTTCCACATCAATGTTAGTTTATCCTAGGTTTCCCATCCTTGACCCATAGATTTTTCCACCACAACCCATCATCGCCCCATCCCATGGCTCGTCTCCCCAGGCCCTGATCCCACGTTGGTCCTGGAGCCGAAGGTACATGGTTGGGAAATCATGGTGTATATGCACACAACTACTATGAGGGCAGCCGAGGCAACAAGGTAGACAAGTCAATATATAGTATATAATATATAGTATACAATATATAACATATAATATAAAGCATGAAATAATTAATGTAAAATGCATTTAATATATATTTTATTTTATATATGTAATACATATAATATATATTGTATATTATATATTAAATATTATATAAATATTACATATCATATATTTCAGATTTCATATGTATATTATATATTATATATTTCATATAATATTTTATTTATTATGTATTATATATTATATTAGAAATATTATATATATATATATATATTATACATATATTTTATTATAAAAATATCATATATATAAAATATAATATCTATATATATATATATATCACATATATAATGTAAAAAATATATTTATAAGATATGGTATCTATATAACATATATTGTATGTAATAAATTTATAATACATTATATATATATAAATTTGATATAATATATAAACAATATAATATATATTATATATAATATATATAAAGTATATGATATATAATTAATATATATAATAAAAATTATATATAATATTGAATTATATAGTGTATATATATATTATGTGTATTATATATGGTAGATATAGTGTATATAATGTATATAATATATTTTATATATCATATATAATATATAAAATATAATATATATTATATAATAATAAATATATATATAATATAAAATTATATATATAATATATTAAATTAAATATATTATATATTATATATATAATATATATTATATAAATTATTTAAATTATATATATTATAGACATGAAATTATATATGAAAATTTTATTTTTATGCATTATATATTATATATATTATATATTATATATATTATATATTATATATATTATATATATAATATAATATATATATATAATATTATATATATTATGAAGATAAATAGGAAAATTCTGTGATAATGTATAGTAAATATATACCCGGAAGATCTGGACGACTCATCTTCAGCCGTTCAACATGTGGATTATTGCTACAAGATGGTGGTTAAAAGGAGTCATTTGACTTTCAAGGATAGTCATAAACAATCATAAACTATTTAGGCATTGAAGAATTTACTACATATATATATATGGATGGGGATTTGATGGAGAATACAATTGGAATATAATATCAGACATAAAAATAAAAAGTAACAACATGATATTTGGTTGTGTTTGAACATGGGGTATACATCCCCAATCTATGTATGGCATTTCTCGGTTGAAAACAAGGTGCTTTCCCCTGTAAGCATCAAATTTTGCGGTCCCCTATTTTCAGACAAACGTGTTTATCCATGAAGGCCGCTTGCCGCTTGATTCACCCAATTTACTCTCTTGTGCCTGCGGTGTTGGGAGCAACCCTGACTAATATCCATCCCACAACAAACACCCTTGATATTGCATATTCATATTATTGTACTATATATACTTACACATATTTGTCCAGTTGATGATCAATTCATATGCCATCATGATGATATATATAAATATTACATACATATTATATATATATATATTACATACCTATTATATATATATTATACATATTTTAAATACACATATTTGTCTAATTACTGATGAATTCATATGCCATGATGATGATGATGATGACGATGACGATGACGACGATGATGATGATGATGATGATATATAGATATATAGATATACATATGTACAATCATCATCAAAATCACCACCATCATCATCATAATAATAATAATAATCATCATCATCACCATCACTCAGATACAATTTTAATTCATCATCACATGTGAACCATTCCGCCAGGTGCTATACCGCCAAGCGGTGGAGGCGGCCAAGATGAGATTTTAGGTCGTTTTTCATTCACCCGGTGAATTCAGGAGGAACCCCAAAATGGCCATGATGAATAACCATGAAAAATAAATTTCCTATCACCATTTTTGGGGTTCGATATTGAATTTTCAAATTTAGTGGGTGTAGAAATGGGATTATTGTGGGATAGTAATCTATTATTCGGATAACAATCTCTAATTGTGATGATGATGGGACGAACGGATGTTGTGACCTCATTGGCCGGCCTAACTTGAATCTTTTCAGTTGAGTTTTTTTTTCCAGCCCAGATGAATTCCTATCATGTCACATATGTCACCATGCTCACAAGATTTTGACTTGCAATATGTGGAGATGGTCAGGACGTACCTGTTGATGACTTCGAGCTGCCAATTGGCAAGGCCTGAGTGGAAACTCATGATCGGCTCATAAGCTTGGCGCTTCCAGTGAACTTTCCCTTTAATCCAAACCTATGACCCTAAAATTAGATGGTTCAACACTAAAAAGGACGGAAAAGGACCAGTCAAGCTATGTTGCTGCTTCGCTAGCCACTAACTTGTGATGGTTTTTGCCATCAATTTGGCGCGGACCAATGGGCACATTGACCACTGAGATCATAGTTCCCATGAATTCCCCAAGTTTTTGTCCGACTCCGGGACAGTTTAGTCATAAGGATGTCATTGCTGGTCACATCCCCAAAGACAGCAAATCTCCCGCGTTGCGTCGTCATACCCAAAGTTATCAAAGTGATAAACCCACAAAAAAGAATTCCTATGTATCATTGAAATTCCAGTGAACTAACCAGCACTTACAGATGCCCGTATTGTGGGGTATGGTCTTTTTCCTCAGGATACATCCATTCCACAATGATCAGTTTGTGGTTTCAAACCTAAAATTGGTTGAAGGAACAATTTGCAGGGACTATGAGTTGACCCCCACAATTGCCGGTGAAAACCATGGTTTCCCGGTTAAGAGTTTCCCTTCAAAACCATGGGTATTCAGCCAACCCCAGATCGGTGAACCCCCAATGATAGATGGTTCATAAGACCTGATTACTCGTATTGGTGCTTGGTGGTGAATAAACCCCTGAATAAAGCCTACCATGGTTGGGTCAACGCAGGCTGAGGTGCTGAAAGAGGGCACGGATGTCACCCTAATCGGCTGGGGCAACCAGGTGAGGGACACAATGATGCCCCGAAGTGGGATGGTTGATACCAAAAGATGCAAAGAAAGACAGTTCCATTGTCCATGCGTCTGAAATTGCAGCAATACACTAGAGGGTATTGGTCAACATTTGGTACTCGACAAGTTAGCTTATAGAATCGCCAATTCTGAAGACTTAAGATGCAGCATTTTGCCAACCTGTGGACACGCAGTTTCCGGAGCAGCGCGCAAAAGCCCTGGTGGAATGTGTTGGATCCAAGAAATTGGGTCCCTCGGGGGTATAACTAACCTTAGGATCCTTTGGTTGGCTCTCAGACTCTCACGATGCTTACAGTAAATGATGTTCAAGCACCTTCCTGTTCTGTCATGGTCAAAACTTGGATTATACCCCCAGATTGGGGGATGGTCATCCATCCGCTTATAGGGATTTAATTAACAATTATCAAGAATCCCATTATGGGATGGATGACCACGAACCATATACCATGCTTTGATCCCAGCACATGTTGCTTAAACCATGTTGAAACCATCAGTTTTCATGGCAAAAACCATCAAAAACCACTATTTTTCTATGGCCAAACACCCAGCTGCCAGGTGAATCGGCTGCTCCAAGCTGCTCAGCTGGCGGAGAAGCAGGGAATCAGCTGCGAGGTGCTTGACTTGCAGCCGGGATGCCAAGGATTTTGACAAATGGCTGGCTTTTATTCTGGAAAAATGGTGTTTTTTTGCCATGGTTTTTGATAATTTGACATTTATGTGAAGATACTGTTTGATGATGAAGCTTTACATTTTCTGTATGACCACTTATGTTTTGTGCCACTATCATTGCTTGGTTTGAACAGTTGTTTTAAATTAGTGGTTTAATGTATATACATATATACATTATATATATAATAATATATATATATGTTTTTTAAAAGATATGTCAAGACACACACACACAATGGTCTATTAGCTAACCCCCTGTTGATGAGTCACTTTAATGGTGATTTAAACACCACTAAGAGTGGCTTTAACCATCAAAAGCGGGGGATATAGTTGATAAATGGCTGCAAAACACATGGAGTGGTGAGTTACTGAGGGTTTTACCATCAGAAGAGGCTCAAACTATGTATATCAAAAGTTAGGATAATATACTGTGCTAAATGATGGTTGGTTGATTATGTTTGCGAGAGTTGTTAGGCTACCATTTTGATCTTGAGAATATTTCATCGGTGTATGTAACCAAGAACATGATCTTTGGGTATGTGGGTGTGCCTGAAAAATGGCTTGCTGAACCAAGCACAATGAAGACCTCATTGGGATATGATATGGAATATAAATAACTTAACATTGAAGTTGGGCGTGTTTGAGACTGCTATATTTACCATCAATGCTTGAAGATTGAATTTGAAAAAATGTTGATACACACATACGTATGTATATATATATATACAAGCAACACATTTAACTGACAAACATGGGGATGCGCCAGAATCCTGGTTCCCAACTTGGGCTTGGGTCTGAATCTTTGACATACCCCACACGAATCAACTATGTCCTACCATGTCTTTCGGCCTCCGCCAAGTCCTTAAACACTTTCAATCCACCTGTTCCCTTGCGCAACTTCATTGCTGTTGAATTCTTAGATGAAAAAAGCTTGCAAATATTGGATGGATTATGGCCAACAGTCATCCATTTTCAGGTACCAAAGTTGGTGCCCTCCAGTCATTTCACCCGATTCCATCCCGCCCAGGTCGCTGGTTCCCTGGGATGAGGTTTCCTGGGCTGACAAGATGGTCCAAGTCAGTCCAAATCCATACTCCCCTGCTGGAAAAATAAGAAGTCATGATCTTCTTGACATCTTCAGTATCTGACATTTGATTTTGATCACTGCTAACTTGCATAGATCAAAAACTTCTTGCCTATCAGCTTTCAATTTGTACACACCCTGAGAAACACTGATTTAGTACTCACTGGAACTATTCATGTTATTTTATTGTTATATAGTGTTACTCTCTAATGCTTACTGCATCAATTTTATTTTTTTTAGGGCCCGTTCTGATGGGCATTCTTCATGGAGGCATGCCGTGACAAATCTGCAGGAGACTGTGATTGCTTCGGTGGAGAAGTTGGAAGACCCAAGAAGTTCGCCTGGTGGAGGGCTGTATTGGAAGCCCATATTACTGTACATGAATCCAGTCAGGACGGCCAAAACCTACTGAAATCTGTCCTCCTTAATAAATAGCAACCCCAAAACTGATATAAAAGTTGCATGCTGGGACTTATGAGGTTAATATATTCCTGGAGAAACTGTTCTATCATTTTTTTTGGAACCCCTATTCGAAGGAAGGTTAGAAGTCAAACTTCCGACATATGGACAGATGTAGCAACAGTGGTGAGAGCAGTCAGAGAAGAGAAAGAGTCAGAAGAAAGAAGATCAAAGTGCGCGAAAAGGTCGAAATGTGGCAAAACACTGTTTTTCCAATGTTTTGTGGCTCCGGAGGGTCGAAAAGTAGGCTCGCTAAAGCGGCGGAGCCATCTGGGGAGATGAGAGATGAACAATTGCACGCGGTTGTGGCACCGAGCAGATTTGGAAGTCAAAACGTTAAAAACATCTTGGGCCCGGCGCGAAGCAGAGCACTTCTGGAAGTCCAGATGCTCAAAAAGTGCACGCCGTTGTGGCGCGAAGCACATTTTGATGTCAAAAGTGTGAAAAACTGACGGTCTTGGACCACTTTTGTACGTTCAGACGTCGAAAAAGCGCGCGACCTTGTAGCGCGAAGCACATGTTGAAGATTTTAGAAGTCAAAATGGTAAAGCGCACCACGTTCGGACCGCTTGTGGGCGTTCAAGTGCCGTTTTTCGTGGCAGGCGCCTTTGTAAAATTGAGCTCAATGCGCGGGTTTTTGAGCAGTTTCAAAAGCGATGGCAGGACAGACAGATAGATAGACAGATTGACAGATATATAGATCGACAGATAGATAGATAGATAGACAGATAGATAGACAGATTGACAGATATATAGATTGACAGATAGATAGATAGACAGATAGATAGACAGATAGACAGACAGACAGACAGATAGAGATAGACAGATACACAGATAGACAGATTGATAGACAGACACCCAGACAGACAGACAGACAGATAGATAGACAGATAGACAGACAGATAGATGGATAGATAGATAGAGATGGAGAAGGAGATAGAGATAGAGAGAGAGAGGGGGATAGAGAGATAGATAGGGACAGATGGAGATAGATAAACAGATGGACAAATAGGTTTCCTATCTTTGAAACTTCCGCCACCGCCTTGTGCGGTACTACTGAAATATGATCGCTTTTGCATATTATGTACAAGAATGGGGATGTAAGCAGCAAACATGACCAAACATGCAGCAAGACACGTATAGCTGAACTCAGTAGGCAATCTGCAGACTCCCATAGGTCTCGTGGTAAGAAAACCTTGTCCCATCACGGTAAGCCACGAAGACGACCTCGTTGATCCCCAATAACTGGAAGGTCCAAGTATGCCCAAGCAACACGAGGCGGATAAACCCAGCAAAGGTCGGACAACTGACAAGAAACAGACATTGAAAAAAACACCTTCAAATTCAACAACCCAGAAATCACTGCATTGGTGACCCTTTTCCATGGGTTTTCCAAATTTGGGTTTCTGACCCTGAGGACTGGTCGTTGTGCAGGGCAGCCTGGGGGCAAGAATTTGCTTGTGAGACCCCCATACTATGCCATTTCCGTGATTTAAACAACCAAAATGGTGATTTAACCAACAAAAACTGGTACAAATGGAAATAATGGGATATTACATAAGGGCCTATAATGGGGATTATTTAGATAAATTATAGAGAGACCTCAGGCCACAACATCACTGCAATGATGTTCAATAGAGGTAGCTACATGCAACTATCCAAGAATAGCACTGTTTTAAGTTTGTGAATTATTTGAATTCACCCAGGTACTTGTTTGATTGCCATTCCGATGATTGGTTGGTTGAGGTGGCATGATGTGGCAATCCCATGATTTTTTCCTTCTCAGTAACCAATGCTTCCTTGGAGGTTGGGGTTGGGGGGTCACCCAGCCCAAAACTACATGTGATTAGACCCGCATCATGGTTGGTTTCCAAGGGGTATTTACCTTCCGTTTCATTCAAAAATCATCTACAAATTGTCTTGACCCCCAGTCATATCAACCCATTAACTATAAATACATCTACCATAAATTAATTCCTAGTCGACCTACTTATAGACCAACTTAGCCAACTGCCCGGCACCCCTTTTGGAGACATTTATATATTCCTGGGGGAACTAATGACTGATTCCTTCAATTCCACTGTTTTGATACACGCGTAAAATGCTAGTGCACCCCTTGAAATCTCCATGAACCAGTCGCAGATACATAGGTATGGTTCCACATTTAAGCACAAGACCACAGATTTTGGTTATGTTTATATAGAAGTAAAGATCCAAATTTCGGGGTACTCAATTGTGACCAAGCAATCACAGAATGATAATTGGTTCGATCTCTTTCCTCTTAATATTTGGGATGATGATGCTCTTCCAGATCATTTGTGGGGATAGGTAGGAGTGATATGATGGGGGCAAGTTAACCTGATGTAAAGACTGAGCAATATCTCTGCGATGAGTCAGAAGCAGCAACCTGCAAGCTGAAGTTGTTGCAAACATTACCCCCAAATAGTGATTTACTGCAGGGTCAGTTGGGGACCATTGGGGGTGTTTCATCATGTCTTGTCATTGGGCTTACTACATTATTGGGTCCGTTTTTGCTGGCTCAATTCATCCCTCTTGAGTAATTATATGTGTACATATATACTGTATATAATACTATATAGTATATAATTTATTATGTAGTATACATAATATTATATAGTTTATAGATAATATTCTATATATGTAATATATATGATATTATATATTGTATATTTAATATTATATACTATATATAATATTATATAGTATATATATGATTAAATAGTAAATATAATATTATATATTAAATATATGCCTAATATTATATCGAGTATATATAATATTATTTAGTGTATTTACAATATTATATCGTATATAACATATAATAATATTTTGTAGTATATGTAATATCATATAGTATACATATGTAATAATATAATATGTATATATATATATCATATATATATATATTTATATCATATATATATATACAGCATATATATATACCATATATAATATATATATAAATCATATATATATATATATCACATATATATATATACAATATATATATATATTATACCACAATATTCGACAATGTGATCTGATCATGGGTTAATCTTACTAGTGCTACTTAACCACCCATCAGTTCATATCAGTTGATTATTTTGCTACATTCAAAAAAATGACTGGTAACTACGAAATATTAAAATAGTATTGAGGGCGAGCGCAAGATGGGAAAAGTAACGCATGAAAACCATTAGGGTTAGAACAACCACGACTATCTCCATTATTATTATACATATGTAGTTAATATCAAGTGGCTAGTAATTCACATTATTAGCCAGTTCTCCTTTTACTTACTTATTGCTAAATTGACTTTAACTGAAAATCAATTATCCACAAACAAGGTAGGCGGTTGATACGGCGCCCTGTGAGGGGTTGCCGATTTTAATTTTAAGATTTTCACGTCAAAAGCTGGAAACGTGGTATTTGTGGGACTTTGTAAAAGGACATCTCAAAGTCATGATCATTTTTCGATGGCAGGCGCATGACTCCAAAGTGGAAATTGGTGTTTCGCCTCAACGAAATACTAATTTTAGTCATCAGGGGCGAAAAAAAAACATTTGATTTTTGAGGTTTTCATTCGGTGTGATTTGAAAATGTGCGTTTCGCCTCAACGAAACGCGCATTTTTGACATCCGGATGTCCAAAAAAAAATGGAAAAAAAACCGTTTTTTTTTGGAGTCTGTATAATGTGAACAACTTGCGGACAGCATCTTTTTCACTCAACGCCACAAACAAGTATATATTCGTATCAACTGTTTTGGTCTAGTTGATATATAGATATATAATTCTGTTAGTTAGTATTAATTAATATATGTATATTTGTAGATACTCGTAGTTGACTAAGGCTCCGTCTCGTCTATCTTTCTATCTATCTATCTATCTGTCTATCTTTCTTTCTTTCTTTCTTTCTTATCTTTCTGTCGATCTATTGACAGTATCTTATCTGAATCCGAATCCGAATCTGAATCTTATCTTATCTTCTCTTATCTCATCTATCCACTCATCTATATCTATCCATCTCACATATTAGCTACTTATATATCCATCTATCTATCTATCTATCTATCCATCCATCCATCCATCCATCCATCCATCTATCCATACACATTATATGGGGGTTTCCGAAAATAGGGGTACTCCCAAATCATCCATGTTAGTAGGATTTTCCCTTATAAACCATCCATTTTGGGGTACTCCCCATTTTTGGAAACCGCCATATGGTTAAGTCTGACCTGCAGGTCTTAGCGCACGAGGCGCCCAAGACCTGTGGCTTTGGAGCGGAGCTGGCGGCCACGCTGTAGCTGAGCCTGGAGATGGGGATTTAAAAAACATCAAAAGAGGCAGATTTATCCAGCAAACGTTGGGAGTTAATATTATTATAGCTAAAAAAAGATTTTATATGATAGCTATCAAACACTCGGATTTCATATGATTAATTATAGCCATCAAAAATTGAGGTTTCATTTGATTATAGCAATCAGCCATTGAAATTTCATATGATAGTATCAAACATTGGAATTCCATATGATTTAGCCCTCAAAAAAATGGGAGTTCATATGATTATAATTATAACCATCAAACATGGGGATTTGATAGGGCTTAAATGGGGTTGCGTAGTGAATGAACTTCAATGATTTTTAACCTGGTTATAGGGACAAAGAGTTTTGCGCCCCAATACAGCCAGGGCATGCCAGATCCTAGATCTTATATGGCTAACAACAATGTTGGTACAATAACTAATTTGTTGCTGCTTAAATCATGTTACATTCCCATGTTTGATGGCTTACCATCACTGGGATGGTTCTCTTCCTAGCCTTGGGTGCCCAGACCATTCCTAACCCACGCCGTGCCTCATTGACCAAGGCAAGACAAGTGCTTCTTAAAGTTGGAGGCTTTGGGCATTGCAATTGGAGATCTTGCTGGTCAGGGCTTGGATAATTTTTTGGTATTTAGGTTCCAGGGTTTTCAGGGGCCTTCAGGGTTCTTGTTTCGGAAACGCAAAAAAGTGGGCAAGGTAGAATGATTGCGTAGTTGTTGAGACCCCAGGCAACCTTCAGGCACTTGATCGATACATACTTGGATCTGTGCTTTCCCTGCACAACTTCCTCAGGCTTGATGGCTAAAACCCTGATTTTGGCCGGTTTAGTCTTCTTCATGTTCGTTAATTTCATTCCCATTTTGCGGGCTACATGCCCGTCAATTCATGTATATACATAATATATATATATATATAACTTACATAACATTGTATAATGTAGTATATCATATGATCTCCATTCCGTTGTGGTTGTTATTCCTAGTGGGTTCCAATATGTTCCAACTTTTGTCGAGTCATTCCTGGATTCCCTGTGAGGCACCTGTCCAGAGAGTTTGCGGTTGGGTCTGGCTGCCCGAGGGAGATGTGCAAAGCTGAAATTGATCTGATGGAACGAAAACCGTAGTATATCAGGTATATCTGATTGGTACCATGATAAATGTTACAGTTCAAGGTAAACACCTCAAATGTTCATAAGAAACCACAATTTTTTTTCATCCCAGAGTCTGGGGTGAATGTGGACTCTATTTGGGAGGATGATCTCGAATGACTGATATTTTTCACCATTCAGATAGAATCAGATATGTTTTTCCTTAATGCCGTTTTGAACAATGATGATGGACCAGGATGTACGTTTTCCAAATTTGAAATTTGAGACACACCCATAATATACCAGTATGAATAAGTTTGGTTGGTTTATGGGTGAATTCTTGGCTTCACACGGAGGATCATGGAGGGACATTTGTCATTTACCCTCTTAGGATTCCTCATTATGGTTGTTATCATCCCTATCAACGAGTGGATGTCCATCAACCAGCAAATAAAAAAACTTATATTGACATTTGCAAAAAAAGACCAATACCAGCTGGAAACGGGATCAAGCAACATTGTTACTAGAGATGTACTAATGTGTTATAAGTTATGTTATAGTGTGTTGAAGTACATTTGATGGATTGACACACCAACACCCAAGCTGACTACCACAAGGCCACGGTCGTTTTTTCCCAAAAGCATCTCCGATGCTTGGGCTCTCGTTTAGTCACACTTGCCGCGAGGGCGCGATACGGAAGTGACGAGAGGGTGGACGGAGGGGAAACCGTGGAAAAAAACTTGGGGAGAGCTCCGTTGGGAGGGGTGAACAGAGAGGAAACCGTGGGAAATAGCTTGGGGAGAGCTCCGTGGGGAAGGAGCCAGATGGAAGCGACGAGAGGGTGGACGGAGGGAGACCGTGGGAAATAGCATGGGGAGAGCTCCGTTGAGAAGGAGCGATACGGAAGCGACGAGAGGGTGGACGGAAAGGAAGCCGTGGAAAATACTTTGGGGAGAGCTCCGAGGGGAAGGAGCGATACGGAAGCGACAATAGGGTGGACGGAAAGGGAACCGTGGGAAATAGCTTGGGGAGAGCTCCGTTGGGAAGGAGCGATACGGAAGCGACGAGAAGGTGGACGGACGGGAAACCGTGGGAAATAGCTTTGGGGAGAGCTGCGTTGGGAGGGAGCGAGACCCGCGGGAAATAGCTTGGGGAGAGCACCGTGGGAGCGCCGGGGCAGTGGGGGAGCTCCGCTGGAGGGAGCGCGATGGAAGCGCCGGACGAGCGTGGGCTGGGAGGGTGGCACGGGTTTTTCGGGACAATTTCAATCAATGCGATTGTCCTGAAAAATGTGGGTCCAAGACGTGGAAATAGCTGGGGGAGAGCTGCGTAGGGAGCGAGCGACACAAAAATGCAGAGCTTTTGGCACCAGGTTTTCAGGACAAGTTCCATGAATGCGACTGTCCCGAAAAAGTGTGAGCCTATAAGACTTGTGAAATTGATGCCAAACGCTGGGCAATGGGACATGCATGGGAAATGCTTTTGGGTTCTCGGTGTTTCGATGTCTGCAACGTCTTTGCTTTCTTTCTTTTCCCTGTTTTCTTCCCAAAAGCATCTCCAATGCTTGGGTTCTCGTTTAGTTGACTTGCCGCAAGGAAGCGATACGGAAGCGACGAGAGTGTGGACGGAGGGGAAACCGTGGGAAATAGCTTGGGGAGAGCTCCGTGGGGAAGGAGCGAGATGGAAGCGACGACAGGGTGGACGGACGGGAAACTCGGCGACGACATGCTGGACGTCGGAAATAGCTTGGGGAGAGCTCCGTTGGGAAGGAGCGAAACGGAAGCAACGACAGGGTGGACCGAGGGGAAACTGTGGGAAATAGCTGTTGGGAAGGAGCGAGATGGAAGCGACCACAGGGTGAAGAGGGGAAGCCGTGGGAAATAGCTTGGGGAGAGCTCCGTTGAGAAGGTAAGGAAGGAGATGGAAGCGACGACAGGAAGGACGGAAGGGAAATCGTGGGAAATAGGTTGGGGAGAGCTCCGTAGGGAAGGAGCGGGATGGAAGCGACGACAGGGTGGACGGACTTGACACAGAGAAGCTTGCACTTACACAGGCTTTTACACAGAGAAGCCTTTTACACAGAGCAGCTTTTTCACAGGAGCTTTTTCACGGAAAAGCTTGTACACGCAGAGGCTTGACACAGAGAAGCCTTTTACACAGAGCAGCTTTTTCACAGAGGAGCTTTTACACAGAGAAATTTTTACACAGAGCAGCTTTTACACAGAAACTTTTACATACAGAGGAGCTTTACACACGGAAGCTTTTAAACACAGAAGCTTTTATATACACGGGAAAGCCTTTACACAGAGAAGCTCTTACGCACAGAAGTTTTTACACAAAAAAGTTTCAAAAAGGTGTTTACACAGAAACTTTTACGCACAGAAGCTCTCACACACACACAGACGCGTTTACATAGGAGTGTTTACACACGGATGCGTTTACACGCAGAAGCCTCCACGCACAGAAGCTTTTACGCAGAGTAGCTTTTACACAGAGAAGTCTTTACACAGAGGAGCTTTTACACAGAGAAATCCTTCTTACACAAAGGAAGCTTACACACAGAAACTTTGACACACAGACGCGTTTACACACAGGAAGTTTTACACGCAGAAGCGTTTACGGCGCGCTGAAACTTTTACACAGGGCAGCTTTTACACACAGAAGCTTTTACACAAAAAAGCCTTTACACAGAGAAGATTTTACACACAGAGGCTTTTGCACAAGGAAACTTCTACACAGGAAAGCTTTTACACACAGAAACTTTCACACACACACAAGCTTTTTACACCGAGAAGCCTTACACAGAGGAGCTTTTACGCACAAACGGGTTTGCACAGATAAGTCTTTACACAGGAGTTTTTGCACACAAAGTTTATACACACAAAAATCGTTTACGCAGTTACGCACAGAGAAGCTCTTACACACAGAAGCTTTTACACTCAGAAGTTTTTACACCAAAAAGCCTTTATACAGAAACTTTTACACAGAAACTTTGACACACAGACGCGTTTACACAGAGGAGTCTTGACACAAGGACGCGTTTACACACCGAAGCCTTTAGGCACAGAAGCCTTTTTGCACAGAGTAGCTTTTACACAGAAAAGTCTTTACACAGAGAAGTTTTGACACAGAGAGGCCTGTACACACAAAGGCTTTTACAGAGAGAAGCCTTTTATACAGAGAAGTCTTGACACAGAGGAGCTTTTACACAGAGAAGTCCTTACACAAAGGAAGCTTACACACAGAAACTTTTACACAGAGACGCGTTTACAAACAGGAAGTTTTACACGCAGAAGCGTTTACGGCGCACTGAAACTTTTACACAGGGCAGCTTTTACACACAGAAGCTTTTACACAAAAAAGCCTTTACACAGAGAAGATTTTACACACAGAGGCTTTTGCACAAGGAAACTTTTACGCAGGAAAGCTTTTGCACAGAAACTTTCACACACAGAAGCTTTTTACACCGAGAAGTCTTGCACAGAGGAGCTTTTACGCACAGACGCGTTTACACACAGTAGCTTTTACGCATAGAAGCTTTTGTACAGAGAAGTCTTTATCCATCTTTCATCATGTCTCATTTTTCATGATCATTCACCATCGGTCATCTTCATATCTTCGTTTTCATGCTCTTTTGGTCAACTCCCTCCGTCATTTCATTGAGTTTTCATTTCGCGCGGTGTTCTGCCCGTCTACGCTTCGTCCTCGCTCCCTCTGCAGCGAAGCAAACTAAACGAGAACCCAGGAATAAATAGCGACTAGAAAGATAGGATAGATTTAATTACATTAGCAGAAATAGCGGCTAGAAGAATGTAGACGTAGCTGGCACAGCATGCTGTCGTGAATTGTGGCCCCTGATGCCATAAGTGCGAACGATGTCTCAGTAAAGATCTTACGTCGATTTCGTGCAGAGCGCAGCTGCCCACATCGCAAGATTTTTTAAAAAAGGCGTGCTGTGCGCCGTCTTGCTTTTGGGTTCTCTGGCCCACCTTGTTATGGGTGAAAGCCAGCCATGGGGTGATTATTTCACTGGATAATAGCCACATGACCCACTTCAAGGTAGAACTTTAGGGATCAGCAACTGACCCGGTGGCGCCATGGTTGTGCGATTTGCTCATGGAGATATGCTCACACTAAAAGCTTACCAAAACTATGCAAAATCATGCAAAATCATCATTTTTGATAAGTAAATCATCATAGACCATCAAACCAAATGGGCCATGGCTTCCAGTTCGCAAACTACGAAATAACTTAGGGATCGGGTTGTGTCATTAAGGCACTTCTCCTGCCGTGGCGGCGTCTTCTGAGGACACGCCCTTCCCCTTGGCTTTCGAGCCATTCTATTTGCCCACTCCACTGCGAGCAGGGTGAACCCAGATTATCGAGATCTGGTGATGAGGTTTTCAACCAACACTGAACACTAGATGAACATATATGTGAATATTTCTTTTTTGGGGAGTTAAGTCGTTGGCCTACAAAAAGATCAAGTGGGATATGATATGATTGAGATAATCTTCAGACCCCATTCGGACATACCCGGAACATGGATTGAAAACGGGACAGGGACCACAAGGATATACGAAGCTCATGGTTTTAATCCCGAGGTGCTTGACGCGGTGCAAAAGGTGATGACCTTCTGAGATCCGATGCTTCGTGTCATGGATATATTCTGCTGGTGGGATCCAGAATCCAATTTGTACATCAGACCTGAATGCAAGGCCGCAAGGCCATGTAGCTGTCAACATCTGTCAAACAAACAACAGGGTTTCGGTCTTGGACCGTCTAAGTCAGCAGCAAGAGGGTCCCTTCGCAGCAGATTCATGACATGCAGAAGGTCAAAGGCTAGGCTTTTTGGGCATTAGCTATTCATCCCTTTTCTTTTGAAGAAAGAGGTGAAAATATTACATTACTAAACACAGAATTACTACTGATAGTTTGAACATTTAAGTACATTTGAATTAATATGAGATATATAATATTATTCTGTGGAAAGAGTGAATTACGTATAATAGAGCTTTG